TATTTATTTAAATAAATTCGATATTTAGTAAAATAATAGTCCTACAATAATTTTTTTCCCAGTGCAGCTAAAGCCACCATTGAAATGCGAGTGTGTGTGTGAGTGCTTTGTTGTTGTGCGGATGTGTGTGAGTGTGGGTGGATGACGTACATAATGAGTCTGCGTGGCAAGTACAAAAGTTTATAAATATGATGGAATAATTAAAACTTGGCGCCAATTTGAAGGCGCTACCCCAAGTCGAAGGTGGCCAAAAGGCTGTCAGCGGCAAAGACGTGAAAATGTGGGGGAATTTCCCCCGCCCTGGCCACGCCCCTTTTGGGCATTGTTTTCGCCTTTGGCGCCGCTTGCCCTTTGGGACGTTTTCCTTTTCCATTTCCTTTGAGCCCGGCCTGCCGCAATTTTTTTTTCATGTTCTTGGGCAGGGATGTGAGAATTTGTATGCTTTATGTTTTGCAGATGCTTAGAAAAGTTTTTGTTTTTCGGTTGTGTTTTTCTTTGCCGTGCTTTAACTTTGTTTTGCTACCTTTTCCGCCCTTTCCCCTACCCCCTGCCACTGTTAATTATGCAACATTAATTAAGACCCGTTGTGGATATGACCTTTAAGCAGGCCACGCTACATGGCTTTAAGGCAAGGCAGACCCATTCAAATGGTCGAGCCATAATTATGTGCACATTTATCAAAGCCATGGTGGAGTTGCAGTACCCAAGCAGGCCACTCAGCCGGGTTTATTTGCAGACTCCGGCGGAGTGACAAGACTCCGGAATGCGGAATCCGGAAATGCGCTCCGCTTGACGCTCGGTTGAATGAACCCCTTTTGACGGCAAGTAGCTGGGCCAAATGCGAATAGCATTCCTGTTGCAATCTCCTTAAAGTTCTGGTGGCAATAAAAACGTGGACGCGAAGAGTTACGGCTTTTCGCCTCGTTTTGGGGCAACGTGGAGCACATTTCGCACTCGTCGGACTGGGTAACATATGCTCAGGTGCTCAGCTCAGCTCAGTTCAGCACGTTTAATGGGCACCAAGGTGAGCCGAGCTCTTCAATTTGTTTGAATCTTTTTCGTTTGCGGCCAGGCGAAAAGGGGGGCAAAACTTTACAGAAATACGTAATCCAGGCAGGGAAAAGAAAAAAAAAATGAACCAAGAAACAAGATACACGGAGTAAGCTGCCAAGAACTTGTCCTGTCTTGCGTGTAGGTGTTTTGAATCTATGCTGTAAATCCTTTTTCTTCGAAATTGTTGCTGCTGTTTGTTGGACCCGAATGTGTACAGCATATATGCTGGCTAGCCAGCCATGCTATGCTGTGTGACACGGCCAGGCGTGCCGTGATGAATGAGGGAGGCTCAACCCCGGAATTCTACCATTTTGCCCTTTTGAGCAATGCAACCCTCTGTTAGACATGTCAATTTCCAGCCTGATGCATCGCACTGGGGCAATGGGTTGGGGGTTTGATGGCTTGGTGGCTTGGTGGCAAAAAAATAAAGAATTGCGTTGCTGAAAAGCCAAAGATTTTCATCCAATTTGCAAAAGTGGAATACGCATACGCCCCGTGGTCCGCCAAGTTCGATGCGACACGTGAGCTTACACTTAAAATCGATACAGACAAAAAATAAGATGCGCTTTACAAACATTTGCTTGTGTTAGTTCCAGCTTTTGCTTGAATTTCATAAATTAAAACAGGTTTGAAGTAAAATTTCATTTTTAATAACATTAGTGATTTGTTATAAATATTTACCCATTTTTCATCCAAAATTAATATTGTTTTTGTTTATATACTTTATTTTAAACATAAACTACTTGTATAAGGTAATAGCTTGTGTTGTTTCTATTTATTTGTGAGACTCAAAACCATCTAGTTACTAGCATTTTAATTAAGCATATGACAAATTATTATTGCAATTTTTTCAGTAAGAGCTTAAGTTTATTTTTATTCCAATTTAGTTAAATAATAAGTTGGTATATTATTTTGACTACGTTTAAATTGATATTATTACTTTTAAAGATTAAGTGTTAAATATGAAATTTAAGAAATAAAATGCTTCTCAGAACTTATTTTGTAAATAAAAAGTCTTAAACATTATAAAGAAAGTCATTTAAATGCAAATTCTTGTTTCACTTACTCTTAAAAATCTCTGGTTTCCCTCAGTGCAGATTTTGTAAAGACTGGAGGACATGTGTTGGCAACGTGCCTGCCGGCAAGTCAAACATTACGACATTACGCGCTTTCCAATTCACCTGCGAAAATCATTTTCTTCGATGCTTCGGTAAAAAACAATGAGTCGTCCCGAAGTCAGAAAAGGCGGAATTTTCGGCGAATTTGCCTTGTCAAATGTTGGAGGCGACGTGACAAGCATTAGCTACAGCTACAACCTACGGAGGACAACCTACAACCTGTGACTGTGCCTGTGCCCCCCGATAATGTCGATGTGGCTGCATGTTCTCAATGCTGGAGGACTGGAGGATTGGGTGCCACAATTTTCCGGGGAAGAAAATATTTTCCTCCTGCGTCGTGTGTAGTTTGGCATATCATTTCGTCGCCAATTTGAGAATCGTTGATATGCATGCGAGGCAGGCGACCTCGGGAGTTGTAAACAGAGGGCACACGTGGGTGGCCCAAATCAAATTGGCTTGGGGTATCGCCTCACGTACCTGCGCTGTGCATACATGTATGTATGCATATGTTTTGGGGGCCACCAAAGGTTTCCCCTCCCTCCGTGCAAAGTGCTTTCTGATGTTTCTCCACTGCCACGGGACCTCAACTCTTTTAGTTGCTCCCCCTAACTGACGAACCGAGAGCCTTTAAACACCAATATTTGACGGAAATAGCAATATGCAAATGGAAATGGAAATTGAATATTCGAAATTAAATGCGTTTACACAAAGTCGGGGTTGTCGAATCAGGAATTACTGCAAATAAAACTACAATTGATTCGCATTTACATTTCATTGGGTAAATTGCACAATTGCAAATGGCACAGGCAAAAGGAGAGGAGGACGGGGGTGCAGAAGGCCAAAAGACTTGAATACTCCAAATAAATGGCATAACATTTTCCCAGTTTCCCCATTCGATCTCGCATGAGAGCACTTTCCCCAGTTGGAAGATGGCTTGAGAAATCACATAAAAATACAGTCAGACAGACGCACAAACTCTCTGGGCGCTTCTTGCTGTTGTTGCTCCCCAAACATCTTGGATTTTTATTGCCATATATTCGAACTTATGGCTGAATGTACTAAAATAACAAAACGAAAACATTTCGACTTTACTTTATGCTCACAAATTGTTTCTCAAATGAACAATTTTAAATTTTCACATTCAATAAAATTGCTTCTGGGAGATGTCAACAAATTGCTGAGGGGAGCTTGTTTTTCTGTTACTTTTTACTTTTGCAAATGAAAACACTTTTTGTCAATTATGTCGACTTAATATTAGCATTAGCACTTTTTGACTACGCACTCAATACACTTTTTCAAGAAGGGAGCTAGATTTTTGGAGTCGCAAGGAAAAGGTTAAAAAAAAATGGCAAAAGAAATAATATTTTACTTTTAGTGGCGCATGGTTTGTACATTATTTTTGATCGTATTTTTGAAATTTTTCATCATTTAATAATAGTAAAATAACTAAAAGCCAAAACTTTTAATTGCGTTCAATAAAAAAATAGGACATATGAGAAAAACATTTTATTCTTAAATGTTTTTTTAGTTTATGTACATAATTAAATTTTAAGTAGACTCTTAAATTTCAATTTTTTACAAGGATCCAACTGTTTTATTTTTTAGTAAAGGCACCGAAATGTTCTACTTTTTGAACAGCAAGTGCAAGTACTTTTCAATTGAAAGTGTAGTTGAAGAAAAATGCAAATGACTCTCGATTCCGGTGAAGCGCAAATGGCGTCGAAATTGAAAATCAAGATGACTTCTTCTAGGAGACTAGGGAGCGAGGCGTCATGAATACAGAATCCCGGGCAAATAGCAAATACAGGTGCCATTAAGGTGCGTACGCATGTGTTTGTCTCAGACATTTCGATTACTTTTTGAGTGGTTCCACTAAGGTTTCACTTCTTTAGCCCCCAAATTGCAGCATCCGCAAACTTTTGGGGTCTCATGAAATATGTAGACTGGTAAAACCTGGGAGATAGGGAAGGGGGCGTGGCACACAAAAGGCGGAGCAAATTACTGAAATATGCATGCGACTCGCCATGGCCATTATCGTGGGCTTCCTTTTCCCGGCCGAAGTATCGGGTCCATCGAGGCTACGTGCCGGGAATGTCCAAGAGATTGCTATGGCTATGGCTCCGCCGGACAACACTCGTTCCGGGCATGTCAATGGCATTGGGTCCACCTATACAGTCACCGCCAGAGCTTCACATTTGTGGTTTTTGAAACTGCACGCATTTGATTGCGTTATTGAAATTGACTGGACCGGTGGCTTCATTACTATAATGTCGAAGGCGGAAGGGGGCGTTGGCGAGGAATTCAATTATAAATGCCTGCGGATTCCAGGTTGCCTTGGCTTATGAATATAAATCTGCTGGCTGTGCGGCAGCTTCGACTTAATTGCCGTTGGCCTAGGCGCCACTGGGACGGGGCGGCTAGTAATTATTTACTTGATGATGTCGCCTCGGGCAAAGTTAAATTAAATGAGGATTATGTGAGATTTTTAATTAACTCGGGCGGTTAAGTGATCTGTCCTATCATCGGTGCTATAACAGCTTTTATGCTTTAAATCTGCTTAGTTGAAGTGGGCCTACTTTACGAACATAAGTATTGCACATATACAATTTTACGGTTTCTGTTAAGCTTTTTATTTGTAACAATTATTTTTTAAAAGATCTCCATAAGCATATAAATACTTTTAAATTAATTAAATGAAATACTTCAAACTTAGCATGACGTTCATAAAAAATAACGGTCAATAAGAAACGAACCGGTTATTGCGTAATCGATCGCACCCGCGATCGCAGCTTATCAACTGTAATCGATCACAAAACCGTTTCGCTTTCCCGGTGTCCCTGGTAACGAACAGCTGTTACAATCAGTTTAATTAGCAGGTGAAAATTGTGTCTTTTAAAAACATTAATTATACAAAAAATAAACAATAAAATGGCCCTGCGACGCTGTCACTTGAACCCAAAGAAAACCCTCTTTCTGCTGTGCGACATTCAGGAGAAATTCCGACCCGCTATGCCGCTTTTCGACAACATGATCAAGAATGTGGACAAACTTGTAAGTTGAACTTTGATTTTGGTATTGATCTCTTATCATTGGATTATCTAAGATTAGCCCGTAATCGATTTCAGACCAAGGCGGGAAAGGCTCTGGATGTTCCACTGATTGTCACCGAACACTATCCGGAAAAGCTGGGAAAAACTGTGGCGCAACTGGATGTGAGTCATGCAAAGCTGGTCTCCGGAAAAACCCTCTTCAGCATGTTTACTCCGGAGGTCAAGGCTGTGATCAAGGATATTTTCAGTGACAAGCCGGAGGACGTGGTGTTGTATGGCCTGGAGGTGGGTTGTGTTAATAACAAATCGATTTTAGGATAAGCCCTGTTTGTGGGTATCCTATACATATATATACATATATGAAAAGTCAATCTATAAAACTGCTTATTATGTTCTCCAATAGTGAAGAACATTTTGTAATACCCTGCTTTTTATTCCGTTAAATTTCCATTTCTAAAATCTATAAAACTGTTTATTATTTTTTTTATTATTTTTCCTTAAAAACTCCAAATAGTTTCAGCACAACTTGTTCAAAAATGGAAATGTTTAAGTCGATTTAATTTTAAAGAAATCAAATTTATTTTAATTCAACCCCTTTTTTTCTCCCACAGTCCCACATTTGCGTGGAGCAGACTGCCATTGATCTCCTCGAGCAGAACATCAACGTGTACATAGTGGCGGACTGCTGCTCCTCCAGGCTGAACCAAGATCGGGACTTGGCTCTGGAGCGGCTGCGCCAGGCGGGATGTGTGATCACTACCAGCGAAAGCGTGATTTTCGACTTGGTGCGAGACAAGAACAACCCCAAGTTCGATGTGGTCCGGAAACTGGTGAACCAGCCCTCGGTGGATATGGAACTCACGCGCAAAGGGAACGGATTGCCCGTGGGCAGTGCCAAGCTGTGAGGCAACCGCTTTTGTTCATACATATATGTGATGATGCCAATTGCATTTATATAACCATCATGCAGCAAAGTGTTTTTCAAGGATAAACGGATGGCGAGGGGATAATGGGCCAAATGGGAGCAGCACCCATTTAAGTTGTCATTTCCGTAACATATTCCAATGCGCCCGCACAATGGGCAAGTCCATATTTGAATTTGCCATTTAACAATGGCCTCGAATGGCTTCGCTTCCGCCGAGTTTCCCCCACCTTCGGACCATTTCCGCCGGGCTCCTTATTATGCGGATGACAATGCGAATTTTATGTACTGCCGCCACCCTCCATTGATTATAAGGCTGAGTGTTGTTGCGTCGTAACCTTTTATTTGTTCAACAGGGCATGGCAGTGGGAAATCAGCGACGCCCTGGCCGGAATATGACCCATTCGAGTGCTCAGTGATGACGATGGCCATGCGGACTGACTGTCGGATGCATTGGATGCCCAGGATGTTGATGATGATGATGGACAACTGGGCGATGTTGTTCCCTCTGCGGATGGGCATCGATGTAGGCCAACGCCTTGAGAATCGCCACTGGAGTGGGCGGAGGAGTGGGGAGGAGATCGCCATGCGGATGATAGCCATGCTCATCCGCCGTATAGGATACCTTCACGGGCAGGCCCTCCTTCGAGGTGAAGTGATACTCGCCATGCACTTGGTGCTCATCGCCAGCCTCTCCGGCTCCGATGCCATTGGTTAAATCGAAGCCATAGGAGAACTTGCCGTGGCCATCCTCCTTTTTGTACTGATTCGCCACATGGGCATGGGCATCATCGTCGTTGGCCACGCACACACCAATTAGCAGGATAAAAGCCAGCTGGGGGAAGGTATAATTGAGCAGAGGGATCGCTTTACGGGAGCCCCACATCAACTTACATATTGAAACATTTTGTAAACCTTCAATCAACTCAACTGTTGCCCAGCAAAACCAGGCCAAGGTCTTAAATACCCCACAAAACGAATATATAAGTCGGTTCCCGAATTCCTGAGTAACCTGTTGAGCCAAAATCTGAACGTAAAGTCATAAATTATGTGGATCACAAAGCCACAAACGTTTAATTGATACAACAACATCATCCCATCATCAAAAGAATCATGACAAACAGCCGTTTTGTGTAAATACATATTATATTATATAGTCAAGGTCAAGCGATCACTCCTCGACCTTCGGATGAAAGCCGGTTGCATCGGCTGTGTACGTCACCCGGATTTGCTTGCCATCTTCGCCGGGCAGAAAGTATTCGCCCTGTATGCCGTTCACATTGCCATGTGCTTTGATCTGGATGCCATTGGTGACCGTGATCTCGTGCTCGAACTGACCAGCTCCGTCCAGGTTTTGGTGGTTCTCCGACTTCACCAGCTGAGCTTGGACATCCTCCTCATTGCAGTTGGCCAAAACCACCAGCAAGGCAAGAATAAGGGCCTGAAGATAGACATTGGTCAACTAATGTGACCCTTTAAATCCGATTAAACTCACGTATTTCAGCATTTTGGAGCAGCTACTGGATCTAAAACAATGGCCAGCGGCTTTTTATACTACGCCAAAGTTGCCTAGCCCACTAAACGGGTTTCAATCGCTTCTGCTAATGACTGAGATTAACCAGACAGCCATGAATATCAAATTTGCGGCGTCTCAATCGCGCCTGCTTCTGGCACTAGCAGGCCAGCCGCCCCCAACTAATTAATTGTGCTTTGGGCCAACCCAATTCGGAACTACAAGAACATTTAATCAACAACAATTTTAAAACTTCTTTTGGGCAGCTTTAAGAAATGTGTCTAGGGCTGGCTTTGAGTCCCAGTCCTTGATCCTTATCTCTGGATTGCTCAGAATCTTGGCCACTCCCTTTGGAAAGTTTGATTTATAATATGAAGACTTCTCCATAGTTTCGTTACTTTTATTTTCCAAGGCGTGCGGTGGAATCATGAGCTGATGTACTTCGTCTGGTGCTTCATTTAATACAAGTTTTTCCATTTGATTTCGTTTGCTATTAAACTTGTCCAGAAATTGTTTGGCTCCCAGACGGGCAGAGGATTTCAGAGCATTCATGTCCCAGGTTACACCCAGTTTTGATTTAATCTCCTCGGAGGCATTCTTGTCGTTGGAGGAGAACAACGATTGGAACATCCTTTTCAAATCTAGTTCCTTGGGATCTTCAAGGGAACGGGCTGCTCGCTGATCAACCTCTTCATCGGTTTTTAGCACCTTTTTAGTTTCTACCTCCCGTTTGGAGTCCTTGTTAAAGGCATCTAAATCTTTTAAGGACAGCTCTGGATCTAAATTCCCCTGAAGCTGCTGAAAATCCAAATCAGGCAGATCCTTTGGCAGGTAGCCGCGACTTTTCAGGTAAACAAATGGTGACTGCCAATTGTCGATGAGGTCCTTAACAATGGTGTCAACCGAGTCCTCGTACTTAACTACTTTTAAATTGCGCGGAGCTGCCGCGGCAACGAATATGCAAATATATAAAATAAAAGAAATCATTTTCAGAGCTTTGTTTTTGAAATTTCAAATTGACGGTTTGCTATCGATAACTAAGTTTGTTTCTCTGAACTATCGATAAGTACGACTGACAGCTGTGACTGTGCAGCCCTGAAACAAAATCAGCTGTTGTGTTGTAGGCAAACGTAAATTTGGCCACAAAATTAAGAACTTTTGGGTTTTTTATTCATTTTAAAACCCCTTACAGGTTTTTTGTTAAACGGACAGGACAACAACGCTACAATGGTCATCACCAACAACACAACACTGCCCGAGGAGTCGGAGCTGAACGTCCAGGAGCTGAATCTTTCGTCGGCGGCTTTGCGGGCTGGCTCCTTTCATTTGGGCAAGCAATGCGAGCAGGCTAATAATGTTAGTACCCACAGATTAAACCTGAGTACTCCCGGTAGTAGTACCCAGCTGAAAAACAGCTCCAAAAAGAGAAGGCTGCCGTGGAGAGGGCCAAATCCTAGCGCTTTAGTTATATAACCTAACCTCAAAACGCACCTTCCTCGGTTTGTTTACGTTTGCTTTGCGTTGTAATTGCAGGAGTTTATGCTGTGCCGGCAGGAGCTGGACGATCCGCGTGCCTGCTTGGCGGAAGGCAAGGCGGTGACCAACTGCGCCCTCGACTTTTTCCGCAAGGTGAAGAAGAGCTGCCATGAGGAGTTCATGCAGTACGCCACTTGCCTGGACAAAAGCAGCGGAACCATGGCCTTTTCACAGTAAGACCCCACGATTTTAAAGATTTCAAGAACTACAAGCCAAGTTCAACCATATTTTAGTTGCCGCAAGACGCAGGGAGTGTTTGATAAGTGCATCAAGGATAACTTTGACTGGGATCGTCCTTCCTACGGCTACTTCGCCCGGGCCAAGGTGAGTTTCTAGACGGGATTTCTTGGAACACTGCTAAACCCACCTGCTTTCAGGTCATCAAATCAGCTCGCGAGGCGCCCAAGAAGGAGGAGAAGGTCTCCTATCCCGATGCCACCCCCGGTCTGCCCGAGGACTACCCCAAGCCACCAGCCAAGTACGGCTCCCGCTTCCACTGGCTGGAATAGACAGCTGCTAGCGCCTAGTGAAATTTGAAAGCGTTCATCTTAACATAAACTCTTGTTTCCATTAGTACTCGAAAGTATTTATTTCATCGTATCTTCTTTCTCGACACAGTTTGCTTGATCTTGGCCATAATGTCCAAGTACTGGTTGTTCAGGCAGCAGCCGCAGTAGCTGACAGGGAAGCAGGCGCTGCCCTCGATGCGGCGATGCAGCGGCATGTTCTGATAGAAAACCCACGAGATGTTCTCCTCGCCCAGCACCAGCATGATCTTGTCGAAGCGACAGCCCTGCACCTGGAACATTTCCACATCCCCGGTGATGATGCGCCACTCGGCGTAGCGAATGTTCACATCCGGCGGGAGGCTGGATCGCTCCCTCATCATCACGTGCTCGAACCAATCGCGCACTTGGATGATCGATCCTGTGGGAGGATGCTTTCTGATCTGGTAGCTGATGCGTGGATACAGAGGATGACTGTGGAAATGAGATTTCAAATAAGTTTTTGATCGTTTTCAAACGCTATATTGAGTGCTTACATGTACGGCACATAGGCCAGGCGAACTAGCACGAATTCAACTTTCTCCCGAGGAGCCATCTTTGAGATAGATTTGTTTTAGTGCGAACGAAACGCTTCACAGGCACTGCTAGGCAATACTGAAGAGCTTCGTCCACTCCGCCAACTATATATACCCGACTTGGCAGGTAGCTTCATAGCCAAAGCAGATGTTCTATCCGTAGTCCTAGGAAAAAGACCCGGTTTACCTGGATTGTTTTCTCATTTATAGTTTTATTGCTATAACATTTCTTAACCTAGACAAGGGAACTTTACTCGGTGTACCACTTGGTACGCTTAGGCTTCTTAATTTTACCTCCCGTGACTCCCTTGACGCCGCCGCCTTCTTGATTTCCACTAATCATGTTCTTGTACTTATTAATTAGGGGTCGCAGGTCATCCTTTTCCTTCTTTCGTCCCTGTTTGGGCCGATTATTGGCCTTGCGCTCGGCCAGATGCGATTCCCGTATCTTCTTATTCTTCTGCTTGCGCTTTTCGGTCTTCAGCTTCTTCATGTGCTCCTTTGACTGCTCGATAATCTTCTTTTTGGATCGCATCTTCAGCGAGGTTCCTGGCTTCGCTGCTGTGCCCACATAGTCGCTCTGGACATCACTGAGCTGCTTCTTCTCTGCGGCTTTGCCCTCCACTTTGGCTGCCCGCGATGCCTCCAGTTTCTTGATGTGTTTCTGCAGCTTGGCTTTGTTGTCTGTCTGGGGAACGGGGGGCTTGGCCTTTTGGCCATTACGCTTCTGCTGGCGTTGCTCCTTGCGCTGCTGTTGCTTGTTCTGGTACGTGGGATTGTTCAGCTTGGAGCGCTCCGTGCGCTTCTCTTTGATTTTGTGAACGGCGCGATCCTCTATACTGAAGGCCACAATGGGGCGCTAAAGGGAAGAGTTAAAAATGTAAGTTATTGGATGGAATTTTCCTATTTGATAACTTACATTCTGGGTTCCAAATATACTGGGATTGTTGTTCAATTTCCGCAGCGCTGTCAATGCCCTCTGATGCGTGTCGAAGGAGAGAAAACCGAAGCCCTTGGACTTGCCCTGCGGATGCTCCGGGGTAATCTTTTGCTCCCTCATCACGCGGCATTCGTGGGGCCGGAAACCAGTGTAGGTCTGAGCCATTTGTTTCAGCTTCTCGTTGTCGTAGTTCTGGGGGAGGTTGTGGATGGACAAGCGGTTGCGGGAAACAAACCTGGGATTAAAATCATTTGATTAGAAATGTATATATAATTAAAATGTCTAACAATCTTACCGATTCAAGTTCTTGAGCACCTGCGTCTTAACCTGCTCCAGTTGATGGCGCTTGGCCATATCTGAAGCGGAAACCCCATCGGCTGCCTTTGCTCCGGACATGATTAGACCTTCTCTGGCCAAATACAGGTTCCTCGAGTCCTTGGCGTCATCTTTTTTGTTGTTCTGCGACTGCTTTGACTTCATTTCCTCTCGACTCAGGGCGGGATGAGGATCCAGGACTTCATCCATTAGCTTGAACTCGGTGCCAGCTTGCAGGCACAGATCTGCCGATTCCTTGGCCTTAAATTTAACAAAGGCTGTGCCTTTGGAGTGGCCAGAAACCGCCTGCCGATTGATGATGGCATAGTTGACCAAGCCGAACTTGCGGCACACCTTCCGCAGATCCGCGTCCTCGGCATCGAAGGGCACGTTCTTAATAAAGACCGTGCAGCCTTGTTGGACGTCGTTGGAGATTTGCTTCTCCTTTTTGACATTTTCAATGTTTAATTTTGATTTTAATTCGTCTTTGTCTTCTTTTTGATCTTCATCATCGTCGTCCGCCTCGCCGTCGGATTCGTTATCCTCCTCATCTTCATTGGATTCCGATTCCGCCTCCGATTCATCCCCGGAATCGCCCTCTTCCTCGCTTTCCTCCTTGACTTCCTTCTCATCACCACTTTCCTCTTTCACCTCCACCTTCAGCTTTTTCTCCTCCGGCTCCTCATCCTTGGGGTTCTTGGCCACGTACTCATCCTTGCCCAGGGCCCAGTCCACAAATACTTTACGCCCCAGCAGCTCCTTGCCATTGGAGTGCAGAATCGCCTTGGTGGCCTGGTTAATGGTCTCGTATTGGACAAAGGCGCATCCCACCAGCTTGCCGTCGCCACGCTTCAGGATGTGCACGTCCTCCAGAGTGCCCCACTGCCCAAAGTGCTCCCGCATCGATTCCTCTGTAGATTTGTAGCTTATGTTGCGCACGATGAGGCGTGCCCGCTTCTTCTGGCGGCGTTCCTTCTCCTCCTTCAGGCGCTGTGTGTTGAAGGGATTGCGGCGCTTCCGGGCCTGTTCCCCGCCCACCGTTTCTGGCGGGGATTCTGCCGTATCATCTGTTAAAGGTTTCATTTTTTTAAGCTCCATTTCGCACGTGGAGATTTCAATTGTTTTGGTATCGAATTAGAGGTGGGAGCAATTCAATAACTCTGTGGGACACTGTTTACCAACACTTCGCGCCAATATCTGGCAACGCTGTTTGGTTGTTTACAAAAAATTACAAAAGATTTCGTTTTTTTTAAAACATATATTTTAACAATTTACGGCTTGTGCTACAAAACTAAGTATCTTGTTTGGTCGCGAATAGCTGGTGAAACTCCGAGGGCGTCTTAAAGTAGTCAACTAGCAGCATGGAAGAGCGGTTGCCCAGTTTGTACATAATATGGCTCCAGGGATTCAAAAAGTTTTTGTACTCAGTTATTTGACCTCTTTCAAAATAGTGCTTCACAGTTCCCAGTGGCAGTTGGGATCCGTAGACAGCCACATACCTAAAAGCAAGGTGGAATGTATTATAAAAACTAAAATGTTATCTATGCCAAAGTACTTTTCCGAGCTCTTATAAATTCTCAAAGGATATTTAGCCACAAAGGCGCGTATCGCCAGATTGATGAGAACAAATCCAGTTAGAAAGTAGTACAGATCAGATTCCTGGGAGACCAGTATAGCAATGTCCATTTTCTGGACCATATTTACGAAGTTCATGGTGGTAGCCCAGTGATAGGCAGCCACCAAGCCCAGAATCGAGGTGGTTGCAGTGGACATATTCTTTGTCCAGGTCACATAACTCTCGATGGGTGCACGGTAGATCAATTTGTAGTTGTCCGGAAGCCTGTCGCCGATCAAAAGTTTTCTTTCCACCTCGCCGGAGGACACATTTCGCCACTTACAGACCGAACTACTTGTGCTGAATGGATAGGGCTTTTTATTAAACCAGTTCCTGTATATATAAACATATAATCACTCACTGCAGTCCCTGGTTATGCCATATAGCCGTAATTGGCCTCAAGTTAGCCAATTTAACACTTCGTAAAAGAGCCGCACACATTTTGTTTTGCTATTACATATGTTTCCGTATTGACCAACAACAAAAAACAATCTGGCAACGAAATCAGCTGTGTGTCAGCCTTGCCAGGTCGTTGCATGAAAATCAGCTGACGCTAGCGATTGTGTTTTGACCACAAAATTGAAAAATCCTCCACCATTTTTAACTCAAACAACAGGGATATCACAACAAACAATTGGGGCACTTCCCAACCCAGGAAACAATGCCGAATTCGTATCTTAGTCGGCTGTTTGCCAGCTGCTGCCAATAGATTCGACATTTAGTCAGTTTAACTCCACAAGCTCAGCTAGACACAGCTGGTGAACAACAGTGTTTTTTCCACAATTTTAGATAGGAACACATTGTATAGGTCGGGTTTTATTTCTATTTTTGATAACATAAATGGATTCGAAACGCGCGGCCCTAGAAGCGGGCGACGCTCCGGTCGCGAAACGCCTGAACAGCACCGAGGATCAGGGTAGGATCATAGGCGTGATGGACCCATCGCCGGGTGATGGTAACCAGCTGATTATGGACAAGCATGTAGCCCCCTACGCGGCCAACAGATGCACTCCTCCTCCGGAGGCTTATTTGTTCGAGACGACTCCCGTCGGGAGTCAATTGCTGCCGTGGAACTCGGTCGCCGATGGACCAACTTCCGACAACGATGCCGAGCTGGAGAATAGCACCACTGAAAACAAGAAACGTAAGCTTACTAATCACTGACTGACACCCATATCTTAGCAAGCATAATTCGGTAATCCCCTTAGCCGATACTGCCAAGATGTCCCGTCGCGAACTGGCCAAACTGCGCCGCGAACACACTCTGAAAGCCCTTGCCTTGGAACGCGAGTTGACCAACAAAGCGGGTCAGTCCACCGCAACTGTGGCGCTCCTCATTCGGTTCCCAGACCCCGAAATCAGTGCTCCCATGCTGGCCGGTATATCGAGGGAGATTCGGGACGTGGTCCTGACCGCCTCCGTGGCTCCGCGCCACTGCCTGGTGCACCTGAGGGTCGGAGCCGATGTCGAGGCCACCATTCGCGAGATCAATAGGGTGCGCTTTGGCACCGGCTACCTGGAGGCGGAGGTCAAGCCCTTCACCGACGAGGAGCAGGCCGAGCTCATTGATCCTTGCTCGCTGTACGTGAGCAACATACCCTTCAACATGACCACCTCGGCCATCAAGGCCTACTTCATCAACGCCGTGCGAGTGGACATCGGTGTGCTGAAGCGAGAGAAGCGAGCTCGCTACGCTTTCGTGCGCTACGCCTCACCTGACCACACCATGGAGGCGTTCAGAGAGCTGGTCAACTGTCCACTTAATAGCCGTACTCTCACGGTCCGCTACCGACGGCTACGGAAGCGCGCCGGCGTGCCCACAATGCAGTGCACCAGCTCCTATCACAGGATGCCCTCGCCAAATGGCGGCGACGACGACAACGCCGACTGCAAGGTCATTACGCCACCGCCCGTGGAGTCGATCATCATCAGCGACAGCGACAACTGCTCCGATTCCAGTGGCGGAGGCAAGGTCAGGAGGAAGTGCAAGGACAATAATAAGATGAACGACCAGGAGAAGGAGATTCAAAAGCTCAAGCGCCAGATGGCCGAATACGGTGCCATCATAAAGAACCTGCAAGTTCAACAGAACATTTTAGGAGGTAAATATATACCTACTAGTCCAATTAATCGGTCAATTCTGATAGTTGAATTCTGAAACTGTAAACTATCTATCTATCTATCTTTTTATCTACAGATTCGTTAATATCGGATCTGACGCCCAAAATAGAGTCGCGCGGGAATCCATCAGCTTGTATAATAGGATCCAATGCAGTCCACCTAATGCGCGACATCAAGACGGAGTGTGCCTATTTGGGAATTCCCGAAAATGGCACTGCCGTCCAGGAACCGGCTGGCAAGCCGACCGCGCATCCGCCAGACGAGAACCGCAAGAAGACCAAAAGTATATTAACGTTCTAATAATGTCCTCTGCCTCACGGGCTTCCTTGTATCTTACTCAGCAACCCGTTTGTGTTGTTTTGGCTGGATGTTTTCAGGTCCCTCCAGACGACGCAAGAGTGCAAAGCTGACTTCTGGCAAGTATGAGACTTTAAGGACATCGCCGGAGAAGGATGACAGACTGGAGGAGCTTTACGCTCAACTGGAATGCGATCCTGATCCTTAAGTTGTCATGCTACTAACGTCTACCAAATTACTCGTCGTAGGCGATTCTTAAAATAATAATTTAGTTTATTTTGTTTTGTATTTCTGTTGGTTTATTTGTTATCTTTTCGGTTTGTTCAGTTTCTCTCATTTCAGCGTACATTTATGGTATACAAATTAAAATTACACATAATAATACGTAAGTTAAATAATATTTCGGTTTTAAATATTAAACCCGAACAAATATCGCTTAAGGGACTCTCTTAAATATCACTTATACAATAATCATATGTACTCGATGATGATTTTCATATTAGTTTATATATGGTCAAGTCAAGTCAAGTCAAGTCACGTATCGTCTCGTCTCGTTATAAGTTAAAACATTTACAGTTGCGAAATTGTTGCACAGCTGTAGGAACTCTCAGAAGTTCATGTCCCATGTGCACACATTAACAATTAAATCTAAACTAAAGTACGTTCAATGCTCAGTATAATGTTTGTTTGGTTCTCTCCAATTCTTTGCATATGGCTCGTTAAATTTAATATCGCAATTTGTCATTACCAAAACAGTTGTTGGCTACACATAAAGAACTTCTGCTATGATATGACTTCTGATCGGTTTTTGTCGTTAGAATGCGGAATGTTATAAACTATTTCATTATATTTAAGGCTGATTTTATTTACACAACAACAAAAGTATTTGATAAGGCACCTGTTTCACATGCTGATCGCTCAATTTACAATTGATATTCTGTTCGATTTCGATTTCGTTTCCGATTTCAATTTGTGTTTGTTTCTGTTTCTGCTTATGTTTTTCATTATTATTGTTATTTGGATTTCCTCTCATCGTATTCGATATGATGTTACGCATTTGAATTTTAAGCACTTTCGGTGTCCAACGTGCAGTAAAATTGTAGAAACTTTGTTCCTGTGTGGTTCACAAAATGCACTGCCTATATATATTTCGCTGGGATCGGAGGCTCTTTTAGCTAACGATGAGTTTGGAGACGAGACACATCAGGATGGTGGTGATCACAGTGTTAACGGCGGAGCTGCTCGTCAGCTTCGTTTGCGACATGGCTCCACTTCCGGTTCGCTCGGCCACTTCCGGTGCGATGGGCTCGTCGTTGGACTGGTGATCGCCCACAGCTATTGGCAAAGATCGGGATTTCAAAATACCAAGTTAGTAACGTTATACGTTAGGCTATTTAAGTTTAAGGGATGTCTTGTGCAGAAATGTCTTAGATCTAAGCTATAGAAGTTGTAGAACTGTATTATGTTTTTTTTTTTTCAGGAGACGTGATTGTTGTTGGGAGTTTTTAAAAGAAATCAAATAGAAAAATAAATATAACTTAAGTAACTTAAGGGAGGGAGGGGGGTAATCAAATAAAAATAGTTGATTTAACATACTCTTCACTCTGTAAACTCGTTTCTTTCTATTTGGCTTGGTTTGGCGTTTCGGCAGGCGGCGCAGATCGTGGGCGTGGCATGTATTATATATGTTTCGATTTGATGGTTTACTTTATTCAGATAGAGATCACTCAAGCGGGTTCGATGGACAAACACTAATGGCTGGACCGAGCACGAGATCCTCTAGAAGAATCTGTTCGTTAGGCCCCACATCCAGCCGGGCAGAATACCCTGATTCGGCACTTGCGGTGCTGTGTGTATCAAGTGCGTTTGTACAATAACCACAAATTAAAATATTTTTTGTTTAAAAAAAAACAAAATTAGAGAAGAAAAAGCATAAATAAAACAATTCTTCGGGAAGGTATATATCGAGGAAAGGCGCTTGGGGGATGTGCTCAAACAAATACTTATGTGATAAGTAGTCTAAAAACTGGATGATGATACTACAATAGAGCATGGGGACTACGACTACGAAAGAAGGAAGAAGAAGACAGGAAAGACAGTAGCACTCGGAATAAGCTCTTTTTTGATTACTATATGCTTTTTATGGAACGGCGGCACATTCGCTTTGTAATTCTTCTGACATATATAGTATATAGTATGTGGGTGGGTGGGTAAATGGAGTTGGTGTTCGTTTTGGTTCGGCTGTTCTTGTAGTTGTTTACTGGATGTGTTTTTTTCTGGTTGTGTGCTCTGTGGTTAATTGTTCTTGTTTTTATATCCACGTCTCTTAAAGCCTGCAAGAAATATACATACATACAGACAGATGACAATGACGGTATACAATTCGGGTTTTGGAGTTCGGCTTTTTGGGCTTTTGTTGAATGCAAATTTAACGATTATGGGCCAGGCACGTGCATGCGATTGTTAAGCGAGTGTCGTACAAATATCCGATTGTGGGTCATAACGGGATGTGTGTGGACCACATATATATACATATATAGCACTATAATACCCCTACCAGCCGACTTTTTGCTTCCCATGCAGGTGTAAATCTTTTGTTTTTGCTCTAGATTAGTAAGTAATCGTTTTCGGTTTGGTTTGGTTTGTTCATGCAATTAACGTGGGGATTTCAGGTGTGTAAGTGTAACATTGGGTGGAGTGGGTGTGGTTGTGGGTGGGTTGTGAGTGGTAAGTGGGTTCAGCCCAGCCATTTAGCCATTTGAAATTTGGTGCCAAGGGTGCCAAAACAAGGAAACGGTTACGCATAAACACTAGAACTCTAGTCTATGCGGTTTTTTGGACTACAGGGTAAAGAGTTTAGTTCAGGGGTGTGGAAAATCGAATATTAATAGTACCATATCTGGATAAATACTTAGTGCTACGGAAATACGGAAATACGCTTAGACCATAACGTGGGGGGTTTCCATTTCTGGTACTTGTTGTGGTGTTTAACAAATAGTGTTGCTTTTATAGGGGTTATTTAGTTAGTTACTCATTGCAGATGCTATATTGGTTTTGATGGGCTCTACAGTTTAGTTGGTTAGATTGTGTGCATGCTAGGATCGTGACTTATAGGCTAGGAATATGGTTTCTGGTGGTAATTGATCTGCGACCACAGTTAGTGAGACCGACTGACCAGTAGTTTTTGTTGCTGTTGTTGTTGCTGTTGATAATTGCTTTATATTTTTTGTTCTTGGCTATTAAACTGTAAGCAAGATATTAAATTATTGTATGGCTTTTTTCATTAATAGTTGTTTCTTAGGCTTAATAACTTTTTTATACATGGTATGCTAAATTGAGTTGGTTAGTTCAAAAGTATACAAATAATTCCAAAATACCGAAAGCAAAAGATATAGATAGGGTTAGTTTGGTTAATGCAAAGAACACACATATATTAGCAAGTGAAAAGTTTTGCAAAGTTGGTTTAGTTTTAGGATTAGTACCGCTAGATTAAAAATGTTAATTAAATAGAGGTTTTAGTAAAAAGTTACTTCTGTTGAAGGTGTTAGTTATGTCGTATACTCTAAGAGAAAGCTGTTTTCTGCCAAGTAAAACTTAGCCTGAAAACACTGAAACAAAACTAAAGTAAAACACCACAAAATCAAGAGTATAGAGAAATTAATAAATATACAAGATATATATAAATACAATATATATATATATAGACTGAGCAAAAGACATTGGACATACACAGTTTGGTAATTAGTTTTTTTTTTCAATAAGTATTATAAATGTATTTCTTCCATAGGCAACAAAGACAAACACATTCGACTTGAGTTATAGAATTTCACTACATAGACATTAACTTAATTAAACATACCATATAGATAGGGTTTTATTATTATTATCATTATCGTTATCATTATCATTATCATTTCTTGACTCGTAACTGCTTCTCGCTAAGTAACAACTCATACAAATACAAGACTTCTTTCTATGAGATCTTTTTGACTTTACAAAGTTTTTCGATTCGTTGATCGTGGATCCATTCGATCGATTCGATTTGATTCGATTCGGGCTCAAACAAAACTACCGCCGAGTCGGTCCCACTCACCTGCGTCGAAGTCATCACCATTACCATCGTCGGCATGCTCGATCATGGAGTGCTGTTCGAACTCGTTGTCCGAACCCTCGACGATATTACCTGTGGACGAGGGCGTGTTCTTGCAGCCGAACCACCAGTGGGCGGTGGGTCTGGGGAAGGGGGGCGTGGCCGAGTCCACCTGGGGGAAATTCATTATAGTTAAGTAATGAAAAAGATACTAAAGTAAAGTTTTACTCACAGCAAATCGGGCATCATGGAATCGGTAGTACTGGCTGCCCTTGAAGAAGTACGTGTAGCCATTGGTGTACTTGAGTGCTGCATCCAGACCATTGGGCACTCCCTCCCAGTTGGAGATGGGCTTGGGATAGCTGGCCTTCACGGGCGGCCTCTTGGCCGGATCGAAGCGCCAGAACTTGCTGCCCTTGAAGAAGTAGATCTTGCCATTGCCTCCCCAAACCATGGCCGCATCCACATGATCGGGAATGCCCGTGAATCCCTCGCTGATCTCCTTCGGATAGACGCCGTCCATCTGGCGACCCTGGTACCGCCAGTACTGGGTTCCCTTGAAGAAGTACGTCTTGCCGTTCTTGTACGTGAAGGCCGCATCGATGTTGCCCGGCAATCCCGGCCAGCCCTTGGAGATCAGCTGCGGATAGCCCTCCTCCACGGAGTCCGTGGTCAGCTTGTAGTACTTGTCGCCCTTGAAGGCATAGGTCTCGCCTTGCGCCGAATTGAACAGAGTATCGACCTTGGAGTCCTTGCAGATGGAGTCGTCCAGTGGCACCTTCGGCGGAGTGAACGGGCGCTGCGTGGTGGCCGGATAGACATTGGTGGGTCTCAGCTGGTTGGTCTTCCTGCCGTACAGCGACTGAATGGCCGCCTTGTCGTCCTCGTCCAGCTTGAAGACGGGCTCAAAGCCGCGATAGAAGGGAGCCATCAGGGCAGAGCTCTGGTCGGAGTGGGACAGACCCAGGGAGTGACCGAACTCATGGGCAGCCACCTGGAAGAGATTGGTGCCACGCGGCGAGCCAATGGTCCACAATTCGGCATCGTCGAAGTGGGCATCTCCGCCAAATACGGGGAAGAAAGCGTGAGCCAGGGTGCCACCCTGACCATCGAAGGCATCGCCATCACCATGCTCGCTCTCCACGAACCTGGTTAGGAAAGGGGATAGAGTGGTAAGTATCCTTAGTCGTAAGACTTCTTAGAAGAATATATTATATACATGAAAGAGACCCTATATAGTATGTACATATTCATGAACATCATTAATGGCCTTAAAATACTAGCCATATCCTTCTTTCCACAAATATTTCCTTTCTTACGCAAACTATTGTATATTTGTTTTGTGGCTGAAACTTTCCCAAAAAATCTTCTTTCTATAAGTTCTATCAATGGGAAAAATTTCAATTAAAGGTTTACTATTCAGGAATAACATTTCTATTATAATTTAATAAGTGTAGGACAACGACAGCAAATAGAAGTCATAGGAGTGATCAAACAATTTATTGGAAAGTCGACAAAGCTTCATTTTTTTAAAATATATATCGTAATTTTATATTATTTATATATATATAAAATAATAACATGTAGAATATACTCCTATTAAAGGTTTACTATATTCCCATAGGAATTATATTTTTAATTTAATGAAAGTCGGACAACGACAGCATATAACACCCATTAGAATTATAGAAAACAAGAAAGAAAGCGAACTTCGGCAAGCCGAAGTTCATATACCCTTGCAGCTATTGCAAGAATTAAACATTTTTGAAAACATTAAAATTATGATTTACTTTCGTATATGTTTAAAAACATTGAAGCTATGATGATTTGCAGCTCAATTATTTGATAGTTATTTTATATATTTTTATTATTTCTAAGGGAGCTATATGATATAGACGTCCGATTTTGATAAAATTTAAACCATAATTCTGAAATATTTAACCATTGCTATATGTCGAAGAACTAAACAAAAAATTAAAAAACAGAAAAGTTATAATTTTTTTCATTTATTTTTCCGATTGTTCCTATGAGAGCTATATGATATAGTCGTCCGACTTTGATGAAATTTAAACCGTAAATCGTAAATATTTAACCATTACTAAATGTCGAAGAACAAAACAAAAAAATAAAAAACAGAAAAGTTATAATTTTTTTCATTTATTTTTCCGATTGTTCCTATGGGAGCTATATGCTATAGTCGTCCGATTTTGATGAAATTTAAACCGTAAATCGGAAATATTTAACCATTACTAAATGTCGAAGAACTTAACAAAAAATTGAAAAACAGCAAAGTTATAATTTTTTTCATTTATTTTTCCGATTGTTCCTATGGGAGCTATATGCTATAGTCGTCCGATTTTGATGAAATTTAAACCGTAAATCGGAAATATTTAACCATTACTAAATGTCGAAGAACTAAACAAAAAATTAAAAAACAGCAAAGTTATAATTTTTTTCATTTATTTTTCCGATTGTTCCTATGGGAGCTATATGCTATAGTCGTCCGATCCGGCTCGTTCCGACTTATATACTACCTGCAATAGAAAGACAACTTTTGGGAAAGTTTCATGCAGATAGCTTTAAAACTGAGAGACTAGTTTGCATATAAACGGACGGACAGACGGACAGACGGACAGACGGACGGACGGACAGACGGACAGACGGACATAGCTAGATCGACTCGCCTAGTGATGCTGATCAAGAATATATATACTTTATAGGGTCGGAGATGTCTCCTTCACTGCGTTGCAAACTTCTGACTGAAATTATAATACCCTCTGCAAGGGTATAAAAATCATTGAAAAGTCGACAAGACTTAATTTTTCTTTTATCATATATCGAAATACAGTCTTTTTATAAAATATTTAATTTTTCCAATAGCATCAAAGGTATATTAACTTCAGCATACATAAGTTTGCTTTCATTCTTATTTAATTGTAATATCAAGCAAACCAACTACTCACTTGATCTCGATGTGCACGGGGCCGGAGGTCTTCCTGGTGAAAGTCAGATCGGTGTCCTCGGACCACACGGCGAATGCGCGACCGATCTCCGCGTCCACGTCCACGCGCTTCAGTCGCTTGGGGTACTTGGAGATCTTGTAGGTGAGGTTCTTCACCCGCCAGCGACTGCCCTGCAGGGCATACCGCTTGGAGCGACTGTCGCCAGTGCCGACGCGATCCCTGACTCCGCAGCGTGGCAGGGACATCAGCTTCATGGTCTCCGAGTCCAGCTCGCCGGTGATGTTCAGGCCCGCGAAGCTCTGGAACTCCTCGATGGCACTCACCCATGTCTGCTGGTCGTGCAGGCCACTGCTCGCCGGATTGCGCGCCGAGGCGGGTAGATAGCCAAACTGGGACAGATAGATCTGGGGGAGAGGGGAAACGGTGGTTGAATGACTGCAAAGATCAATGGGCTGCGCCCGATGGTCACCCCTTGGGGCCAACTTGATTTATGGCCATCAGATTGGCCGGCAACGGCATGTCCTGGCTACTCCTCACACTGTCCATCTGACTTGCATAATTTATGACTGCCACAGTGGCTTATAATTTATATAAATAAACCGCTGGGGAGAAGGGGCGACCCCACTGCGTATGCTCAATATGTATATGCAATATATAATATATATGGCCATAGCCATACGTGACTGGCGAAGGTGTGAAAACTCTTAATCGATCTCCGTCGAGCATCGGGAACATTAAGGAAGCGTTTCGATTGCTAATTGTAAATTGTAAATTGTAACATTGAGATATCGAATGAAAACAGTTTGCCCATCAGGGAAGTGCACTTGTGCGCTGACTGGAGAACAATGCGAGGTTAGCCTAACAGTTAAGCAGCTTGCTCACTAACTAAATAGAATTTGTTGTCTGGCCAATTACAACGGCAAATTGTCTTACAGCGGGCCTAGAGTTTTATGCGCTTGACGTTTTTGGCAGAAGCGTATACAATTCGATTTGGCATGTGGATCAGGTTCAGCAGCCGTTTATGTGTCGCACATTCTTAATGACGCCGCCTCAACTCGCATATAGGTATATATAAGTATAGGTACATGTTGTATAATGATTTGCCGAATCTTGCATAATGCCAGCTGACTGTTAATTTTATTGTGTTCTTTCCGCCTGCGAGGAAGTAAACATTTCGCTGGTTTATTACCTTAGCCATTCAAGTCGCGTATTTTGCCAGTGGCTCTGTGATCTTTTTTTCTGGGTGGGTTGACTACCAGTATTTTTTTAACCAGCGATCAGCTGGGTCAGCACAAAAGGTAAACGAACTGTAAACAAAGCGGGGTTCAAGTGGAAAGTATTTTTCACTCATCTCTCAAGAGATCCACTCGAAATTCAGATTCAGATTCAGAACAGACTGACAGACTGACAGGTTGTAGGATTGACTCATACACGGCGACCTTAGGAATGCCTCTTCTTTATGCAATTAACATAATTACTCGCAGTGCACAATGCCGAATGGAGAATGGCGAATGGAGAATGCCTCCCCCTTACGAACACCTTGATTACCCAGAAATCAGTGAAAAGGTGTTATGCCAGTTTCTTGGGATTGTAATGCAGCTTTTGTCATAGAACAAACAGACGACTGACAGCAATCAAATGCATTGTTCGGGGCCTCAGAAATGAGCTCTTTCGGTTATCTTCCATCGATAAGATAACTCCCCATTGGCAGCAAACAAAAGACTACCCAACCTGTTCGTAATTGAGTCATTTCTGACGCATTTCTTCCATTCAAAAGTGAGTGCGTCACAGGGCAAACGGAAGTAGTCGGGGCTGAAACGGAAATGTTTGTCCACTAATTTAACGTTTTTCATAGACTTTGTTTTTTCGGGAGTCATTGGACTACTCGACTCTGCATTACACCTGTTCCATTGCCACGATTTCATGGGTCGAATGCATCCGCATCGATTGAGATATACGTGCATTTGCATGTGATTAGCGATTCTCGAGGGGATTCGGTCGATCAGATGCTCCGTGGCCATGCAAATTATTTGAAATTACACGGACTGCAAGGGGTGAGGGCCACGGCACTGCAGTTGGGTCACGTTTCAGAGGGCGTTGAAATTGCACTTCAATTTATTATTGGACATTGACACAAATTGTGCTTTTTTTGCCCGCTTCTGTTTGGCGGATAATCAAAACAAAAATGTCAACAAAGAATGGCTTTCGCCACGCCCCAGCACTCTAGATATTTTATTGAGTTACTAGCTACAGGTGCACTGGAAAAAAAAAACTTAAAAAGTATCAAACAAACAATGTGAATGTTTAAAACTAATGGAAAATGAGATTACTTGAATTTTAAACATTCTGATTTATAATTGCTTATCAAAACAAATAAGTTTCAAAGGAAAATGTCTATAAATGAATTAAAAAAAACTTCGATTAATAATTTAATGTATTTAAAAGTAAATTTGGGCTAAGGCTTTGACAAGGGATAATAATTAGTAATAAATATATATTCAATATAAATACTTGTTATATTATATCAAAACTTTTCTTGATACAAACTAAGCCTTGGATATCCAGTGCATTTATATATCTTTTTGTTTGTGTAGCACAAATAGTAACTACCAGTTTGCCAGGGAAAATATCTATTCAGATGGTTGACCTGCTTGCCTGGTTTACTTGGCCGAAGGAGTTGAACTTGTGGGAAATGGCCCACGGGGGTTTTAGGACCCAAAGCAAAACTGCAGATGGGCATGTGTATGCACACATGTGTTTGTGAGCCCCGGAAAGTATGCTAGAATTGCAATGCAACCTTCAAATATTTAACACAATTTGCACAGGTGCAAAGTTTGCAAAGTTGCAGAGCTGCCGACTTGATTTGATTTCGAGAGGGGAAATGGCTTTTGCAGGTAAGCAAACCAAGAGGGTACTGCTCCTCGGGGTCAATGAACTTCCACCCATTTAAATTGAAGGCGTACTCGTTTATTTCCGTACGAAACAAGAACAGGACATGCATAAATTATAAACAAGTAACGATTTGTGTATACTTCTCGTATACATTCGCCGACGTGCCCGGTTTCGTGGAAATTGATGAGAAAATTATTGGCCAGCGGGAGTGGGAAAACTTCGGGAGTGTACCTTCTTCGTTTATCCGTTTTTCGGGGGTGCGTGGTTAGTTTGCGTTCGCAATGTGGGTCACCAGGGGTCATCGACTTTTATTCCGATATAAAGGGGGATATGGTAAGGTTCTAACAACTAATTCCCCTCGCAAATGGGTTGCAAACAAACCTAGACCTAGTTGCACAAATATTTGCGTGGCACGTGCATAAACGAAAGTGTCTGCGACAATTAAAGGCAAATAGCGGAGGTTTTCCCTGCGATTTTCCAACCGTCACCGTCAACGTGCGCATGCAATTTGCGTTGTCCAATCTCGCTGGCAACTAGCAAACAGGATTAACTTGTTTAAATGCTTTTTTAACCCGGCGATTACATCATTACCCCTCGCACCTCAGCCGCAAATCGAAGCGCAGGCGCCTCATTTGGCGGCATTTCTTTTTGGTTTTCTATAACGGGCAGATTGGAAAAGAAAACTCAAAACTATAACGAAAGCCAAAACCAAAACTGAAACCGAAGGAAAAGTAAAACTGAAACTGGGCCAACTTAAGCAGTCTTAAATGCAGCTGTAAGTTGTATAACGATTTCAATTTAATTCAGGACCAAAGAGAGAGGAATTAAATTGACAGAATTTCGAGCTGGTTTTGGCCAACTAAATTGGGTTACGAAGCGTAGAGCTTGTACAAAAAGGCTTGGCTTTTGCGCAGAAAGAACTTTTAAATTTTAGCAATAAACTGGTCATTTGAAACTCCAGCTCTCTAGACACATAAAACACATAATTCAGCTCAGACAAATTCCTTGACATTTACCTGAAGGGTTTCCTAAGTGGGTTGGCCAGGGAAACTCCCACAAAATATTTGACATTTCCATACGCCATACACAAAAGGTGTCTTTCTACCATTTTTTTCTCGGCCAGCTTTTTTTTCGCCCCCCTGCAAGTGGCTAATTCACATAGCGATAAATAAGCGTCAAGATGCTAAGATAACCGGACAATAAAAAGCGCTATTCATGCAAAAGTCAGGCAAAAAAGGATTTTATTGCAAGCCGTTTTAGGCGGTTGTTTATGGCAAGACGCGTGAAATGCTAAGCTATGGATGACCTTAGGGAAGTCTGAAAAGGAGAAAGGATGTTGGCGCAGCAAAAACTGTCTATTCTGGCTATTTGTTTGCCAGCAACGGCAAGGCTGTTGCAGCCTTTGTGCTTTTGGCACCTCGCGATGCGAAGGTCGCACGCAACTAATTCATAGGCAAATCAATCAAACTTGGCGAAAAACACACACTATTGATTGGTTTTTTTGCCCAGAAAAGTGAGTTGGGAAAGTGTAAATAAGTCTAATGCACGAATGGATTTTCTTAAAGTGTGCTTTTGTGATTTTGTTGTAATTAAAAAACCAGGAAAGTTTTACGAGTTTCTTAGGCGTATTTTGCCTTTTTCGTTCGCCCACAGCGATGACGAATGCCTGAGCTCATTTCAATTTCGTTCATTCGAACGAGTAATTAACCTCTTGACAGCTCTATTATGTATACTTGCTCTCCAGACCGATGACTCACTTGGTAATGGATATAGTTTTTCCTGTTCCGATCCGATCGCACCAGATCTCATCAATGAGGATAATTAATGATAAAGTGGAAGACATATCAAATCACGATTTCCTCCTTGCTCCATCGGTGGTCTGCACGATTTGCATTCTCCGGGAAGATTTATTAGAAAGCGTTCTGCGGGGAACAAAGAACCTGACATTGGAGAGACGAACACGTCACACACGGCGGTTGAGTGTCGCCTTTTAGCCGCTTTTGGGGCGACTGGCCAGCGACAACGAGCCAAGTTATAGGCAACGCGGCCAACATACCAATTAGCCACTTACGTAAAACATAAATAAAACCTAAAAACAATGTTAAGCACGCGCTTATGCGTGCTGGGGCCCAGAATCAAAGCGAATCAAAGCGAATCAAATCGTATGGAATCGATTGGCTAAATCATTTGTGAGAGGCAGGCGATCGCAAATGGCTAATCAGGAAGTTCTGGCATCGGTTCTCCCCATTTTCCCCAACTAATTTATGCAAGTCTGTGGCCAGTAAACGTGATTAGCTTCAGGTAGATAGCTCCAAGTGCAAACGTGCCGATGCTGCAGCAATTGTTGAAATTGTAAATGGAAATTACATTCGGCTAAACAGCTAAACAGCAATCATGACAAGCAATTAACCGGAGATAAATATTTATAAATTGAAAGCGTGGAAATAAAGTTGCTGGCGGGGAGGAATAATTCGATTAATGGAAAGCTTTAATTTATGGCGTTTTGTTATCAATTTTTTTTGTTAAGTAATTTGAAGTTAATGCTTCTGAATCACATGAAGCAATCAAAAAGAATTTTTATATAATGGCTATGCACTTATCAGTTATTACTTTGTAATCTTTATATATATTGATTTAATTCGTAATACGGTTTTTTCTTTATACTAATTCGTATAATTCGTATTTTTATTTTAACTAGTTTTTTTATCAATGATTTTTTTGTGTTAATTTTTATTTTTGGACAACAATTATCAAAAGTGATTGGTAAAAGAAATTAAATGCATTTTTTAATACCCGCAGACAACTTTTGACAGTGACGACTTGAGAAGTCGTTCACTAGGGTTTTTCAACTTAACAGCGTACTTCTGAATCATTTCTTAAATTAAAACGCATTTAAAAACTTATCTGATGAGTTAGATATTTAGTATATGCAATATTTTTTGTATTTATGGGAGCTTAAACAAAAAATGTATATGTGGTCGGTGATAAGCACGTCGAGCCTGAATTTTAAATGTGTTTTTAAATCACTTCTAAGAATCTTAGGCAAATTTAATGGCAGTGCACTTAGTGAATTAAAGAGGGGAAATTCCTGAAAATGTCATGGTTCGCAATTATGCTAATCAGTGATAGTACTTCCTATTACTACAGATATTTCATCACTTTAAGTTCATTGAGAACTGACATTCATTTAAGGGAATGCATTGGAATCGATGTGCTGGCCAGTCAATGGCGTGTGTGATTTTCTGGTGGAAAGTCACCAATGTCACGAGCGATAACGATAGCGATAATCAGACTGCAATTAGCCGGCGGACATGCACTTTTCCGACCATCCGACTAAGGCTAAGGCCAGAACCTCTGAGCCGGGCCAAAATCGAGTGTGTGAGCGGAATAAAAATTCCCGTTGACATGCGATGCGCGTGAGCCTGTTGCACAGTCACACTCGTGAATACAAAATATTTCCACCAGATACCCGTATGCACAGTGTAGTATGTCTAGTGTAAAATTAAGTATAATTTCCAAATGCAACCAGCTCAAAAACTCTGAGCGCCTGGCACGCCTGTCATGCAAATCGGAAGTAAAGCCGCACAGTGGCCATATAAACTATATAGTATATATAATACATAATATCGGGCGAGACAGTGCCAGACAAAGCGGCTATCTCGTGCAGTTAACTGCCACCTCAAGTGCAACAAACTGACTCTGTCTCTGATTCTGATTCTGATTCATTTCCATTTCGATTTCTTTCCTGTTTAAATGCTGTGCCCTCAGTTCCCTTCAATACTCAAATTTCATAATACTTTGTATTATAAAAAAAGAAAGTGTAACCCGTGAAGTGTAATCAGTACCGTAAATATTTATTTCAAAGTGACAATATTTGAATTTGCCATTTATTTTCTCTGAATGTACAAGCTTTTCTATTTTCGAGTTCTTTCTTGTTTTAATGATATTATTATTACTCAATAATTTAGTACTTGTTATTTTTATATTCCCTTTTTTGTTGCCGATTGCATGCTTTACATTTTGAGCAGTGCATGAGGAAAAACATTACAAGCTTTTATATAAATTATAGATGAATCGAAAAATGTTTATTTAATTTAGCAATTTACTGTTTAGAATTCCCTTCAGTACTCAAATATTATATTGCTTGATGTTAATATAATACCCTTTTTTTGTTTTTGGTTTTAAACATTCCCAGCTTTTTCAATTTCCATTTCTTTCCGGCTTATATGTTGTGCCCTGCTGCGTTCTTTTTTTTATTAAAAGAATATTTAAGACTTAGTATTATATTCTCTTTTTTTCTTACTGATTGCATGCCTTACATTGTGTGCATTAGAAACTTTTGTATAAATTATAGATGAATGTTTATTTAATTTAGCAATTTACTGGGATCCATTAAACTGTGTTTTTTTGTTGTTGTGTTTTGTTAATAACTTAATTATGTACTCACCTCTGCCTGTGTGGTGGTTGATACTGGTGCCGTTTGTGCCGCTGCCAGAATTGAAAGCAGGGTGCCTACGACTACGAACACTGAACTTTGGCAGTTTGTCATTTTGTTGCTGTTTTTGCTGTTGCTTGTTTCTATTCCCGTTGTTGGTCTAATTGTCATGTAGTTCCACTTGCTGGTAGCACTTTGAACTTTATATCACTGCAAAGGCAAAAAAAAGGTCAATTAATATTTCATAAAGCCGGGGGCCAAGTAATAAAGCAGCAAACAGGAACAGGCTAGAATGGAAAAGGGACCAGGCCAAGTACAAGTGCAAAAGGGCGAACGGAAATCATGCCACCTTGCCACCTTGCCACCTGCCACTCCCACTTTCCAACAGGTTGAATGTGGCACACATTCTTTGTGGCAGGTGGAACGGCAAACGGAAGTGGCCGGCGTTGCCGAGAATCGGGGGTTTGCTACTCCAAGACGTAGTAGAAAATAGTACAACTCAAGTGGGGCCACACTTGAGATGACCAAACTGAGCTGTAGTATACTCTTTATTATGTTTGCCCATAGCACGCTTTTTATTATGAGCCCTTAAACTGCACTCTCACATCTTGTGAAGCCATTAAGCCATCGGCCTAAGAATATCCCCTTATCACAGTCAAACATTTGCACAACCTAACCACCGTATCTGCGTAATCCCCACGTAGAGTATATCGGATTCGTTGAGCCACCCATCTGTCCGGTGCCTGATATTTTGATCGGCCAAGATATACAAGTCATGTGCTCTGATGTCTGGCTAGCTTGGACGTCATAAACGGCTCTTGTGTGTAAGTTTAGACTCCAATTAGAGCTTAATTTTAGACTGGTAAATATCAAGTTGGCCATAACCGTAAAGGATTGTGGGACCTTTTGTTGATATTCAGATATTTGATTTGCTAAAAATAGCCATCAAATAATTCACTTGATATGGACGAATGTTGACCTAGGGCACGAGACAAGTGCCAGAAATGGCTACTATATAAACAATAATGTTTACGGACATGTTTATCCCACTATATCTTGCACCTATGCTGATCTGTCTCAGGCTTGTCCCCATTCTACTTGTGTGACATCAGCAGAAATGACGGGCTGGAAAGTGCGATAAGTCGTATCAAGTATACGCCGTGTGGCAGGCACCTTTGCGAATATGTGATATATATATCTACTTAAAGCGGACACTGTACAGTTTAGTCTGCCTTGTTGTTGCTGACTAATCGCTGGGGATTTCTGAGCGGACACTTTTAACAGGCTTTTTTATGTACGGCAATTAGCCGCTAGATCCAGCCAAATGAACATGCAAATATATAATGTATATACGCACACCCCATTGGCCTGCTGTTATCTGATTACAATAATTTCTGCTAAGCAAATACCATAAACAATTCCCATTTTCTCTTTTTTTTTTGGGCAAATGTTTTGGGGCGGGTTGAAGGTCGGCTGGCTGACAGTTTAAGGTTAGCGCCGTGTGGTTAACTCCGCTGATGATGGGTTGAAGGGGAAAGTGGAGAGGATGGGTTAGGCCACATGGGGTTGTCATAACAATGGACGCATTTCACTCGCTTGTTAGATCAATAAAAGCGAATTTTGAGTGCTTTGGCCAAATGAATCGGTGGCGCAATTGCATTCAACGCGAAAGTTTGCCCTGTTTTTGTGTTTATCATAATGGTTACGTATACGACATGTAGCACACGTCTGGGTGTGTGCGCGATGTTCTAAATTGGGTCATAAACAGGCTTTTGCTTAAAGCTGATAAGGTAGATTTGGCCAGCAAACCGGTTAGCCGGTTCCATTTAATCTTCTCTGAATCGCAGTTCTTCGAAGAAGCGATCGTGAGTCAAATTTATGGATGGTAAAGCTCGTTTACAAATAAATTAAAATAATAAATGAATTTAGATGCCAACCAGTTTGGCCAAACCGCCCGTCTCACTGACATCCATTGAAAAATACCCCCAAAAAATCCACTTGCCATAGCCTTTTGGCATTGTTCACCTTATCAGCGGGTGAATATGCCATGTGAGCGATAAGATATGATGGGGATCGGCTGGGAGTTATGTTGTGAAGTACCAAATAAATATTTTTGTGTATGACTCGGACGGGCCGTGTGTCCAAGTGTTACTAGAACTTGACCTTAGTGATAGCACCCAGTCGTATCGGTTGCGGTATCGTTAAGTTGTGCAAGTAGCTGTAGCCCATGTCGAAATACTTCCAAATTGGTTTTGGTATTCAAGTTCACCTCCAAAGTGGAGTGCACATAGGGTGTGTGTGGGCCTGATTAATGGGCTGATTTATCAGTTGGCTCCCGCTTCTTGACCTTTTCAATTAACTGCCAAGCCAAGTCGAGCCGAGTCGAGCCAAGCCGAGTGGGATGCAGTTGCAGATCAATGAACTATTATTGCTGCCTTTGTTGCCTGCATGTCGCTTGCAACACTTACAAATTAATTAATTAGCTCTCGGGCACATACATTTTTCTTTTTTCTCCTCTTGTGGCTATTGTTGTTGTTGTTTGTTGTAGCTGTCGTCGCTGCTTATTCCGCTGTGGATGTGTTGTCGTTGTTTATTATTTATTATTTATAATTTATAATCGCAGTCCTTTTGTTTCTACTTTAATTTCGAGTGACTCTGCTGACTGTGTGTCTTTATGTCTGGCTGCACTAATTGCCCGCTGGCACTTCCATTTTGCCGCTTGTTTCCGCGTTCAAAAACAAAACTCAAAACTGAACTGGTTCACTTTTCGAAAAATCTTCTTTTGAACGGATTGAAGCGTTTACTGCTTAGGTTAATATAATATTTCGGGTTAGACTTCGTTTCTGTTTATTTTGTATTTCTCGCCGCTAAACACATCCGCCCTGGGCAGCGCGCAAATTTCAACTGATCTTCAGCGGTCGCTGGCAAACGACTACGACTGTTGCAGTCAGCAGCGACGGCAACTGTGACTGCGACTGCGCCGCCGACTACGGCAGAGGCGGTACCGATCGTGTTTTGAGCTTTTGGGAGACAACAAAAAAAAGCTTTTTCTTAACAGAGGCGATGCTAACTGGAGATTCAGTGGCGGTGGGGGCCTTTGGAAACCTGTTGCCAATAATCGAAGTTGTCCCTTCCCCTCCCCCGCATCAACACTCTGGGGAGAGGGGGGCGTATGAGTAATGCCGAGTTCTTGGAATCATCCACATATGTGTCATACAGCAGCCGCAGTGGCCACAAAAAAAAAAACACTCAGTGGCAATTGACAGTTTGTCTTGAGGTTTAACATATTCCCTTTTCCCCTGGGCAAACAGTTAAAACTTAACAGCTTTTGTTTCTTAAAAATCGCATTCGATTTCAAATGAATTTCCGCCACACCCCGCACCTAACAGAAAAAAATGTTTATGAATGAATCTGCGGTTTGGATTCCCCGTGTCCAAGCGATTTCTCAATGAGCGTATGAGTAATGCGTAAATGATTAAGTTCATAAATGATAATCCCATTTTATTGGGGCTAAAGATGTGCTTATGGGCACTCACACAACTGAAAAGTGTGTTAAATGATTGTCTCATAAACTTTAAATAATAAAAATAAAATTAAGAAACTTATTGATAAGTCTCTTATTTAATAAGTCTCCAACAAATAATGTTTTTTTTTTTTTAATATAGCATGTTTTTAAAGACACAAATGTTTTGTGACGTAAAGAAATTAATGAGTAATTCACCATATCAACAAAAGACACACAATTAAGTAATTTCAGAATAAATAAACAATATTGAAAAACAATTTGGATGAATAAGAATGGAAATCCTCAACATTTGAATGATTATTAAATGTTAAATGTGACACGCTCCAAAACTTTTAAGCCAAATATATTTAAGTAGCAAAAGTAGGCGTGAAGTCACAAAATTAATAAAAGTTCATTATTATATCTGAGTTTAAAAGTATTAAAGTATTTCCTTTTTTAATATTTTTTTTAATTGTTTTCTGCTATTAAGACTTAAGATTCAAATAAATAAAGATTTTAAAAAATGTTAAGTGCCAGTCACAAGTTGGGACTTAAATGAATGAAGTAATTTATTTTCTCTATCATCTGGATCGCATATGTGCTTTCAAGACCCACATATTAGCACCAGCCACCGGGAATCAGTGCTAATAAGCTATTCATCTCTGCGTATCTTCTTCTGAGAATCAATAAAATATTCCAGAGTACGTCAGTGCCATCCCATTAGTTTCAATTGAGTGCAATTTTCGGTGAGTCAGAATCTGAGTCCAGAGCCGGCGGGCCACGTGAAGTAAATTGCTACCTAAGCGCAAACAAATCTCTATTAATCGCCCGGAACAATTGTTTACCAGCCCAAGCCAAAGGTTGCAGCTGGGCATGCAGCTAAAAAGCGAAAAGTAAATCCGACATCCAGATAATAGGCGGCATTTTGCCTTAACGACAATTCCTGATTCGCTTTATGGAACTGGCAGAACTTGGCAGAACGGGGCAAAAGTTGGCAGAACAAAGCGAGGGCTGTGAGACAAATCCGATGCTGATGCTGTTGCTGCCACTTATCCATGGACCAAGTGCATCTGGTCTGCTGTCAGTTGCCTCTTTAAGAGCCCCCTACCAACTTCCCCATCTGTTCTGTTCTGGTCCCTGTGCATATATACATTTAGATATATGTACATATATATGTGTTCATTCTTCTGTTATGGCTGTGGACAAGTTGACTTGTTGTCGTCGCCTGCTGTGCGATGCAGTTTGTGCCCTGCCATTGGGACAATGAAATATTTATGAGCTTCTTCTGCCTTTAATGACAACTATTTATGGTATTTTTAGACCATGCCCCCCGGCATTAAGGTTTGTTGCCTTCGCCGGCAGTGAAATGAACTTTTCCACACCACACAACAAGCGATTTCGCATTGACTTTTGCCATTGCCTTTGAACTGTGGCACCTAGCCAAGCAGAACATATAATTGTCATACAGATTAGGCCGATAATGCTAATTGTATATGAATATAGTATATATTTATTTGAATGGAGTGCGCGACTCTCTGACTTTGAGTGCGAAAAACTATTTCTAAAACTCAATCACGTCACGGTCAGGCTTTGATAGTCGTTTGGCAGCGATATATGAAGTATCTGATGAATCTATATAATTATATGTATTCATGTATCGGAATGTTACAAAGTGGCTAGACTACGTGATGATTGTTTAGGCCGGGTCTTTACAGTGGGGCCCCAATCGCAATGTCAAATGCCAAGTGCAAACAAATGATCACTTTCGGCTGCTGATGATACCCATTGTGCTCACTATGCCCATTGAGAAAGTGGAACTCCCCAGCGGAGATGAGTCATTTAAATATATATACTTACCATAAGGCAGAGCAGACGAAAACTGCCTGTTTGAATTGAGCAAACAGAATTTGCATAAACTAAACTTTGTGAAATAATCAAGTCGGTTACTCGTGTTTCTCCAGCAAATATTGCACAAAGCGGCTTTTGTTTTCTTTAAGTTCTTCACTGAGTTGTTTTAAACTTTATCAGCCATTATCTGCGACCGATTGCGATTAGATCTTCGAAGTTAGATAAGAGCCAGGCGAACTCTAGTCACTATCACTCTCTCACTTTAGAGGGGAAATTTGCTATGATTGGGTCTTATCCATATTCTTATTCTGGCTAACTGCAGAAATATTCCCAACTTTCTGCTAAAAACAACTTAGTTCGCGAGGTGCGATACGCGACAGCGACCGATTCACAGCAAGTTCCGATTGCGACTCGTCTGGCTTTGCTGTTTTCTGTTTTCTGTTTCAGCTTTGTGCCTTTGTGGTGGCAGCTAAATAATGTTCGCGTTGTCGTCTTCGTACTACCCCTACTTCTTGTTTTTGTGCCCAGTCTACGGGTGTGTGTGAGTCTAATGGCCAGAAACTGTGCTTGTGTTCGCCTCTAGTTTACGAGTCACGCGAATAATCATAAAAACACGCTCACACACACACACACACACACACACACACATACACACATTGTCATAGGTGAAATCCTAGTTTTGGTGGTTGAAAATAGTTAGACGTCCGATTGCCCTTCGTCCTTTGCATGTGATTACAGAGCAACAGGATTAGAGGAAAAGCTCTTTTCTGGCTAGGACTAACAGTTAGTAAGCTTATAGCTGACTGCTAGTTAAACATTTGATTACAGAGCAACAGGATTAGAGGAAAAGCTCTTTTCTAGCTAGGAATAACAGTTAGTAAGCTTATAACTGACTGTTAACAATGCATGTGATTACGGAGGAACAGGATTAAAGAAAATGCTCTTTTTATGGCTAGGACTAGCAGTAAGTAAGCTCATAGCTGACTTTTAATTATGCACAGAAATCAAATAGGTGATTGGTTATTATTTGACTTAAGAATTTTCTTCAAAGCCAATTGGTACATATCAATTGGTTTCAATAATTTTAGAATACATTCAAATTTAATAAATTTTGAATAAAGAAAAAAATAAATATTGATAAATTCCCTTCACCCCAATCCTTAGCTAAGCAACAGGGGCTAGTCTAAATAGGACTCACCTCTAGCTTGCTGTTAGTGAGCTTTTCGCGAACTGTTAGATCCACTTATGATTCACTTGAGGGCGCAGCTTTCTCTCTCACTCTCAGTTCTCCGACTTATTCGCACTTTTTCGATAGCGGAAAGCTTTTCACGCAGCGGAAGCACAAATTAATTTGTTTTAACACTCGGTAATTTGTTTAAATATGCATATACTATATGTGCTTCTAAGATTTGCCTTGCTGCAGCAAGCTGCTCAGTAACTGCAAGTTCGTTGTGCGTTTTTTGTGCTAGACTGAGGCTGGTGGGGCTCAGCTTAGATTCTTTTATATGGTCGGACGCAAGGCGATGCGATATCGGATGTCGTTCCGATCCGAAATGCCAGTCATTCAGATGCGTTGAGTTTGATGCCAGCGTCCTTCCCTGTCAGCACCCCCTTTTCGCGGGTGTCTCTGGGATCTTCCTCGTTTTGTTTGGATAACACAACAGTTACTCTTCGATCCCGGTTCCGTTTTTCAACCGGATGAATCAGAGGGTCAGGCCTAAACGATAGTGTCTGATCCATCGGGGTAGGAATTGCGCAGGCAGTAATCTCCACTTGCACTGATTCTTCGGCTGGAAGTCCAAGCTGAATCATTTGAAATGCATGCCGATTCCCGTCTCCACTGCGATTCATTCTGATTCGGTTTCCTTCGTTGCGATGCTAAATTTCGCGTTATATTGTTCTTATATTTTGATTTATACGCACTCAAACGTGCTGGAATGCCGTCCTCTGGTTGTCTTCCTCAAACGCCCACCCACCCCACAAATTCCCCCATCCGGAGGTTCCCTACCCGACGAATCAAGTGTAATGTCTTCTTTTGTATTGCAATTAAATGTTTTGATATGGCTGTCGCACAAACAAATAAACTAAGGATTTTAGATACAAAAGAGGAATTCAATGGCAAGCAGGAAGTGTGATTGAGTGATTGTTTGATTAACCGCACTGATTGATGTGGCCACTCCTTTTTGGCTCACAAAAAGAAATCCTTCAAGCGATGGCCCAAAGCGGCTGCTAATATTAAGTATGGAATTTATTTTATTTGATGTGTTCTCAGATTTTATTTGGAGATTTTTAATTGAACATACATCCAAATGATTAGCTTCACAGAAAATAAATTGCAAGTAGTGATTTAATATTAACAGGTCAACAAACATCTATCATTTGTTCTATTGAATAATGTACATTTCATATTAAAAATGGGTAAATGGGTAAAAATGGGTATTTCTTTTGTTGTAATGACAAGGTTTAATTTTGTGGTACATTAATAATAAATTAAAAAAATAACCTCTACAGCTTGGTGTTAAAGTCATATATTTGATTTCGTGTAAAAACTTAAAAAAATAAATTTAAAACAAATTGAAATATTTTTTGGGTCACTAAGTGAATGACAGAGCGTTAAATTAAAAATGAAAATGGCTCAACCGGAATTCAAGATACCATGCAACATATAAGACATTTTTACGATCGTTTTATTATTGTTTTTATTAAGCTCAGTATGACTATGTATGCATTTCCTTAATAAATCCTAGACTTACTACTATAAAGAGCAGTTGTTCAGAATTTATTGAACAGAATCTGCCCAACCCAGTGTAATTAAAGACATTTTTTCCCGTTTTCCAAGTCGCATATATCTAAACGAGATAATGAAAAGTACATAAAGTTGTCTGCCGACCTTGACTCTTCGCCGTCTTTTTGTGCCAGCCATCTTTTGTCTTGATCTTGGCCGAAAGAGCTACGTGTTGTGGTCGTAGGACACACCCAGATGCATCACCCTAGTGTCCACACACCCACAGCCAAGTCTGGTTTAACCCTTTTGTCGAAGTCAGACCACAGAAGTGCATAAGTTATGTTTCATATTTTATTTCGGCCCACGCCTGACTATCCCGGTGATTCTTGGAATCCGCTTGAGTAATAATTTAGCCCGAAATAAAAATTTATTAAAAACAAAAGCAGACCACAGCCAGCTAAGGCAAACACAGACGTGCAATGCAAATAAATAAACCCAATGAAGAAAACAGAAATTTGTTTTCTTAGTTTTCGGCCCCTGAGTCATCAGTTTGCCTAATGTGCCTCATCGAGCCCTACATCCCGAAATTTCCAGAGAGATAGATAGATGGTTAGACACTTGATTTCAATTAGCACAACATTGAAGTCAGCCCAAATAGACATTTCAGGGGGAGGTTCTGGGGCATAGGAGGGGGCATACCGATTGCGATTCTCAAAACAGATGTCCATGTCCATGTCACTACTGACCCTCTCGAACGACCGGCGCTGTCATTCAGCAGTCGATAAAAATCCAATAAAAAGCTACATTTCTTAATTTGCATGCTACATAAAAGTTGGATCCAAACTACGGGGGCTTCGACGTGGGAGAAGTTTACCCCATCCATAAACTTTAGGAATTATATGCAAAATTTGACACACTCCTAAAAATAAAATCGGTTCAAGAGTTCCCTTTGGGAAAACAATCTCAAGGTAACCTATACTTTTAATAACAATTTATAGATTTGTGTAGTTTTTTTCCTAAAAAGTATTTTTCTTAACAATTCCATTGTTTGATTTGGTTTAGTTGGCAAATTGCTGCCAAAGTTCAAATTTAAACAGGAAAGAGTAAAATAAATTGAATAAAATAAAAGAAACCCAATAGCACTATATTCAAAACTGATTAAAATAATGAGAAAATTATGTTTTTATTTTTTTTTTCCAAAAGTTTTTAAACATTTAACATTTAAGACAAAGTAAGTAAACAAAAAAAAAAAGAACGACAAAATAAAGTATTCTCAACAAATTTAATCTTCAAATGCAAATTGTTTTGATCAACTGAACTTGAATATGTCATAAAATAAAAAAAACAATAGATAATTACAATTGTATATTTATAAATTGATTAATCCACAAGGCTAGTATTTAATAGCTATGTAAAAATGATAACAATATAAAACAAAGGGCATGATAAAAACAAATACACCACAAGGAGGTATGATTGAAATGTCAGGCACTGATTGTTACTGCTCTTATATAGTTTAATATGTGTCACTTTACTTTGAATAAGGATTTTTTTTCAAAAGTAAAATTTACAAAAAAATTTACGGATTCAAAAGCTTAGGTATTTATTTGAGAAGCATCATAATCAAATGCCCTATTACCATAGAGTCGTCTTGCACACGCGCACCATTACTTTATGACTTTCAGCTATAAAATTAATAATTTGTTTTGCTGATTTATTAGCATGGCAAACACGTTCACACGAGGGCAACGAACGCGCCTGCGCGCAGAGCTTTCAGCAGAAATGCAAAAAAACAAAGCTGGTAAAAAATGTCAAAATATTGGCGACCAAAATGCCAGTGGCCAACGGCCAATGGCCAATGGCCAATGGGTGCTGCACAATTACCAAAACAAAGAATTGCCTAAAGGCAAACATAAACACGTGAACTTGTCTGGCTATTTGCATTTGTCAAATAAAAATCTGAAATGGAAATTTAAATCAAAAATGCGGACTGCACTTCATTTGTTTTGTTATTTTTTTTCGCCTTGAGTTAGATGAACTTTATGGCTGGCTTTTGAAATGCAAAGGAGCAATATTTCGACAAGTGGAATAATGAAGGAGCAGGTGGGCTAAAAAAGTTCAAGAAACTCAACTTATTCTGTTTTTTGCCATCAAACTTTAAATTCGATTTTGCTTTCTTGCGAGATGCTGGGCGCTGCCCTTCGGTCATAACTTTCGTTTTGTGTTTGTGTCCTGTTCCTGGTTCAATGGAATCGCAATATTTATTTTGGCTATATATTATTTAATTGCGTATACGCAGCGTTTAACTCCGGCCACGCCATCATAACGCTGACTTTCTGCTTTTGTCTCCCCACTTTGGAGTCGTCGCACGTTCGGCCTGCCGCATCACGTAATAATGAGTACTTTCCTGCCCTCTCCACGCCCACGCCCACGCCCAAGATCCTTGGTGCTGGAATAATAATAATAATACTTATTGCACTCAGGTCGCCCGTGTAGACAAACAGTTATGGCATTTAATGGCCAAGCAAAACATGAATCCATGAGGACAGTCATAACTTCTGTTCGGCTTTGTTCCACCACCAGCCATCAAACGAGAGGAAAAGCAATCAAAAGGCAACAGAATCCACTTGGGACACAGACTCCCGACTCTCGACTCTCGACTCCCGGCTCCACACTCCGCCGCTCCAAGTGTATGGTACTTCAGTTAATATTCATTGCAAAGTTGAATTGTTTATTGCACTCGATGAAAACCGCTTGATTAAATGCACCTGGATTGTCACTGCCACTTCCGCCATCGCAGCGCGATTCAATGCCCCTTAGTAGCTCAGTAGCCAAAGAAGTTGAAACCGCAGAGCAATTTGTCCGGCCTGCGGATCCGCAGGATGCCGAACTGGAACACCGACATGTCATCGTCCTCCGCCATGTTCATGTCCAGGGCCATCAGCTTCTCGGCGGCCAGCGGATGCCACGAGCCGAATGTGCAGGCGGAGTTCATCTGGGAATAAAGCAAGCAAGTCGATGGCTCAGCATGGGACAAGGATGCGAATAAAAGGAATTTTCAGGCCCACCTCCTTGCTGTAGTAGTGACAGCGGCCATTGAGCCGCGTGGAGGGCACATACTCCACGAAGTCCACCTGCGGACAGTGAGGCAGGAGCAGGGCCAATCCTGGAAAAGGATACCACAAGAAATGTGATTAAATGATTACAATTACAATAATTGCGGTTAAAACTTAATAGATTTAAATTAAAAGTTACAGTGCCAAGAAAACAGAAATAGTTGCTTCCAGTTAATTATAAAAATTTAAAAATGTTTTTTTTACTTATAAATATTTATTAAACTTTATAGTTTGTGGTATTTTGAACGGAGTCTTCATGATTCACTTAATTTATTTTATTCCCAATTTTTTACATAGCAGAGAAAGATTAGTATATATAAGCTTTTGATCGTCATGAAATTATTTTTATACATTTGTTTGTAAGCTTTTAATAATTGTAATAAAAATACTTGTTATATAATTATTACCATATTTTTAAGGGACCTTCATTTTCATTATGTACATTGGTATTTACCTATAAAACCGGAACTGGGCGGATTCCGGCTGATCGGTCGGTTTCCGGCAAACATTTGCAAGCTCTGCCACAGCCGCCAAACCGAATGGGGATCGATCAGGAAGGCGCGTGACTTGGGATACCGACGCCTGTATATCTCGTAGTTGGTAAACAGATCGTAGTCCGCGCTGGTGAGCCAATCCTCCAGGGTGCCATTGTATTTGCCCGGATCCCAGGCGGCAATCGTTACGTTCCGAAAGATGGGAGCATGGGTGAAGTCGAACTCCGGCTTGGTCACCACCTGCGGAATGGGGAGAGGGGTGCGGAAAATGCAAAATGCAAACTGCAATCGAAAGTGCGGAACTGGGAAACTGCGTTCCAGCCTACTTGCGAATTCACCACACGAATTGTGGTTTTGCTGCCAACATCCACCTCGTGTCCTTGCGTTGGCGCATGATTGAATCTCATCACAATGTCGTGCGTGTCTGGGGGCAGGGCGAAATAAAGCCACAAAAATAAACGGAATTAGAGTAGACGGGTAAATCAAATCGATCACCGGGCGGCCTCTTCCGACTAATTGTGCATGCAGGCCGTTCGCTGCCGCCACTGCAGTTTTACATACAAAAGTTCTATAACAAATCAATGCGTAACAATGTTTTACATAACATTTTGCGCCTAAAACGCTTAAAATATTGTTGGACTAAAATATGAAAATAAAGTTAACAAAGAATATTTAAAGAACTATTTTAGAATAATTTTTTATTGTCTCTCCAAATTTTTTTCAATTTTAATGAAAATGTTTCGTAATACTCAAGACGGCACTTCGAGAGATCGTGCCCTATATTCTTAGAAATTGAAATAAATATCTGAGAAGGAATGTTATGTGCATGTGTGGACTAAACTGATGCTGCAGCCAAGCTGTGGTCAAATTACGATTGCACTTGAAAAGTGCTGATCCTTCATATTTGGAAATAACAATGTTACCCAGAGTACAATGGGTACTCTTATATATGTATACTACAAAAGCTAGAAGACTTAATTATTATTATTTTAAGAAATAGGTACAAATATTTTGGTTATATTTATAATATATATATATTTTTATAAAAACATTGCAGTTTTCTCACCGATAAAACGACCCAGTTTGGAACCCGCCAAGGAGCCCGCACTGGAGACGATCGCACAGGTCTTGATGTCCTTGAGGTTGCGAAAGAGTTTCTGGCGCGGGAAAAGCCGGCCGAAGGGCAGCTTGTTGAAGGGCGCATCCTTGCGGCGCAGGACTCGCACGCCGGCCTCCATGACCAGACAGGTGGAGGGGTAGTACTGCTCCTCGAAGCTGTCGCCGAACACCGGCTTGTAGTCCACGTTGTAGTGGTTCGCCTGCGACTCGTTGACCGACTCCATCATGGCCTTCTCGAAGGTCTGGACAATGCGCTGCCGGAACTGCTGGGTCTTGTTGTGGCACAGTTCCGAGTGCTTGTCATGGCAGAGATACAGCTTGGGGCTGAGGGTGAGCTTGGTGTTCTTGGACACCTTTAGTCGGGGATGTGGAGCCAGTTTGGAGGAGTTGATGGCCGGACTCTCGCGACTCTCCACAATGAACTTCTCGCTGGGATTCCAGCGCACGTGGAACACACTGCGCGGCATGCGATTTCTGGCGGTGCCATTATCTGCGTAAATTGCATTTCCCCAATTACTTTGCGCAATCGCCTTTCTGCATTATTACATCGAGTTGAATTGATTTAATACGCACCGTTGCCGGGCTCCCACGAATTCACCACACCGGGTTCGCGTCTCCGCTGAGCTTTCGCCTCGTCGATTCGCTCGCTTTGAATGATTAATGCGGCGCACACGATTATAATGAGGCTGACGAGGAGGGCCTGACACTGACCCGGCAATGCGCGTGTCGCTCGCCTCATTCTCCACTCATAATACGCTATTCGAACGGGGGGCTCAATTAATATTTAAATGAGACCAAGATGCTGGCCTTTCGGCCACTGTCAACAGAATTTTTAAAGGGTTCTATATTCAAAACGAGCCACCTCACATTGGAAAGCACACACCACACAATTGATCACTACTATTTTAAAAAGGCACAATATATTCCAAAATATTCACACACTTACGATTTGGCATTATAAGTATTAAAAGGAAAATACTTCAACGTAACAATCAAAACCTAAAAATGAAGGAAATGTTATATTTAAAATAGATAGTTTTGCAGCTCAAACTTAAACCTTATTATTTAATAAATTAGCATTTCATTTTAACAGATCATAACCAATTTTACTTAAAAGATGCCTTGCAAAATCGCCAATCCAAACTGTAATTATTAAAATTAATAAGTTTTTATATACCATATGCTTTTTGAAAAGTCCTAATTCACAATTAACAAAAATTAGGCCGCTTTAAAATACTTAGTTTTTAACAAAAGAAGCATTCTTGCATTAAATGCAAAAGACTAAATGGGCCAAATTGGGCCTTACAAGTACAAAACAATTAAATAAGTTTACCCAAGACTGTTTGCCTTGCCGACATTTTCCAAACGATCAAACTTCTGCTAAGAAAAGTAATTGAATTTCCCATTATTCGGAAATTCGCAACTCATTTGCCGTGTCAGTGTCAATTAGCATTGACCTTTTACTACTTGCATTTAGGAGGCCTGAGTAGAAATTCGTGTAGCTGTCAGTTCGCATAAAAATTTCCTGACAAATAAATGATTTCGGACATGTTTGCAATTACAGTTTTACGTTCTGTGTGTGTTGTTTTTTCAGGTGGCGCCAAAATAAAAGTATGCAAAAATAACCGCAAGTGCGCTGGGGCAAATAGAAACACACAAGTTGACCGTTGTCGCACAACTCGTTAACACTGGGCAAATATTTGGCCCCACAAGAATACACATTCCTACGGCGGATAAACACGTACCAAATGTGCGTTCTCACGCAGCCCGCAGAAAAGTCGGAAAACAGCCGGAAAAGCGAAGGATTTCCCGGGTCACGCGTCCGCGGTTCGAACTTTCCCTTTCGCCAGCCGAAACGTATCTGAAAAGTCCGCGAATCGGCGGCACAGTGCCCTGGCCAAAAACAGAGCCGAAGGATTCGGATGCGGAGGAGCTTCGGAACATCGGAACTTCGGCAGCGGCATCCCGATTGCCTTCGTACTTTCGCCACTCGTCCTTTTCCCCCCTATTGTTGGTCGCGCTTAATTAGAGTGCTTGTTGTTGTTGTGGCTGCCCGCCGCTGATGTTGCCGCCGATACTACCGCTAAGCACCTGCTTTGAGCGGGCCCGGAAAGTGAAAGTTATACAAGTTATATAATACAATGTCGTCGGGGGTAACCACTTCCACCAGAACGAGCCAAGCAGCACCTTAAACGCAAGTGCGTGCGAGATTTCAGAACATGCTATTCGCCACCGTTCGCTGGCTTTTCTGTTTTTTCTGACTTTACCGACTTTTTCGACTTGATTGCTGCCACTTTAGCCGGCTTGCTGCTTCAGGGAAATCAAGATTTTCACGCAAAGCTCCCCTGATATGCATAGTTATTTTTTCCATAAAATGCCTATAACTAAGGGGGCAGCCTTTAATTGAATTAAGCTCTAACTTTTTTATTTAAGCCTCAAACAAATTTGATTACCCAACTCAAACCTTTTCAATCTATTTCAAATTTTCTTCTACTACAAAAAACTCATATTTAAAATGATTAGTTACTACAAAACTTCTTAAACAAGTATTTATAGAAAGTATTAAAATCAAAGCTGAATTTTACATGTTCAAAAAACTTTTTAGGCGTTCTGATTTTATTTAAATTTTTGTAATCAGGCCAATCCTTTTCGTTTATTGTCTAGTACATTTGATTATTGAAAAAATGTATATTGGTTAAATAAATAAGTGAAGAACGAGTTTGAAATCGAAACTGAATTTCAACATTCTTTCAAAAACGGAAAATTCAGTTCACATACAAACACTTTACAAGCTTAATCAACTTAGGCATTCGTTGTTTAAATCATTTTATACTGTCATCTCATCCACTTTAAACATTTTCATCCGTTTTTATTGTTCCTCCGAGAGCTTCTAATTATTGTGCTTGTTATTCGTTTTTTCCGACCATAATGCCACGTTGTGCAGAGTGAAACCCACGGGACTTGGCACGTGTCGATTGACCTATGACCCGGGATTCTCCGCCACATCCCAGTAGGAAGTCAAAGACATTTTCTCGTATATATATATATTTGTTTTGTTTTTTTTTTTTGTTTGCTTTTTCGGTTTGAACAATAATTATTATTTTTGTAATCATTTATTATTCATCGTCATAATCATAATAATTTTTCTATACAAATACATTCAATAACAACAATTTATTTTTTATTATTTTCGATTTTTTCCGTTTTTGGTATTACGTTTACGTCATTGTTTAATTATTTTACAATTACCATAATTATGCCAGTTGCCATTATTATTACGTAGTATTACTATTTTCCTTCTCCGACCACTTTGAAAATCATTTTCATTATTTTAGATAGTTTGGCTGGGGGAATTTACTTTCATTTCGTTTTTTTTTTGTTTAAATTTTAGCTTAAGGACTATGAAATTTCGTTTTTACCGTGTTCTATTTTTGGATTTTTCATTGTTTTTTATTTATAATTTGTTGATTTTTTCTATATTTTCTTTATCCTTACGTTTTGTATTTTCTTTTAATAACAAGTACAGAAGATTTCAGTTTAGTTTTTTTAAAGTTTTTAGCTGTCTCAAGTGGGATGTTAGATTTTACGTTTCTTTATCAGTTTTTACTAAATTACTTTTATTTGGGAGGGGCTTGTCATTGTTGGTTTCGATTTTTCACTATGCAAACTTCTCATTCGGGAAATACTATGGTTAGAGTAGTCAATTTTATGGAGACTTTTTGTTTTTGTTTGTTTGCTAGCTGTGTGGCTTTCCATTAAATTAGTCTATGTTTTCATTTAATTAAATTAAATTTGACTTGACGCTATGAATTTCGTTTATATTAATTGGTTTGTTATTTATTCGCCTTTGTTCGGTTTTTCTGTGCATGCTTGCATGATATCAAATACAACACATTTTAACGTTTCCATTGTTTTTTATATATTTTGTCACTTTTGTCCTGGCACACAATTATGTAATTTCATTTGGCCTAAAAAGAATTTTGTGTTTCCAATTTGGTTTCGGTTTTTAAAAATCTCTTTTTTTTACATATTTTAAATAGTTTTTTTTTTCTTTTGGTTTTTGTAAAAAATAATTGCTAGCGTACGCTGCAGCGGAGTTTTGCTTGGATTTTGCTTGTTATTTTTCGTTTTGGTTTTTTCGGTTTTTGGTTTTGCTTGTGTGGCAGCGGCTAATCAATTACAAAAATTATTGTATAATTCGTGCTAATTGGTTATTGATTCGGATTTGGATTTGAATTTGAATCGATTGTGTGTGTTGGTGTGTGAGTGTGGATCGCTTGAGATGGTGTCGATGCGATGTCTACTATAAAGTACTGCCCACGCCCATGCAAAGTCGATGGATTAGATCTGCTGCTGCTATGATTTTTACCCACGTTACATACACAATTCAACTAGTTTCGCTATGCACAAGGGAAGTCGCCTCGTCGTGGAACGAATTGGCGTTAAGATCCTCGTTCTCCGGTGCCTAAAATTTAATTCGTACATACGCTAAATGCCCGGGATCGGATTTGGGCTCGGGATCGGGATCGGAATCGAGTCGCATTGACGAACAAACAAACCGGAATGCCCCCATCCAACCGCCTACGAATCCGAATCCGCGAGGCCTACTCCAGTGTCCTTCTCTATTTATTGTTTACATTTAAATAAATTAACATTTAATTTATTATTATTTAGGCATCTATTCATGTTAACTATATTATATATATCAAAAAGTTTTACAAAAGTACACAATAATTCATAACAATTTGCATTCTATATGCGCGCAATTTGTGCCAGCGGCTGACTCTGCTTTCTGTTCCTTTGCTGTTTTGTTTCTGTTACCGTTTCCATTTCCGTTTCCGTTTAAATTTCCATTTTCGTTCCGCCATTGAAATGTTTTGATAACGGTGATAACGGTGTCGTTCTGCCCCGCCTTTCTCGAACTTTCACGCTCCTTGTTTTGCTTAGAAAAGGTTATGCATTCGCCCCAATGTACAGTTACCCCGTTGACGAGCCGAGATAAGTGAAATGCTACATTTTGGCCACGTTAACTCATACATTTTGGTATAATTATGGAAAGAGTTGCGCAAATGACCACAATCGAGGGAAACTTTGCTGAATCATAAGAGCGAGAAGTAGAATATATAGTGTATGGATCCTGCGGTGATGGAACTGTGCCGATGGAGTCGTGGCGAATTGCTCATACGTAATCTGTATTTACAAAGATTTATTGATATGGGGGCGCTAACCGGAGAGAAATGGAGGGTTCGTAATGAAGGCTCGTTATATCGTTTACGTTTCTACTACAACATCTAACAAAATCCATACCATCGTCCTTCTCGTATCCTGCTTACCTCCTCCTAAAGTAATTTCGTCAGTTTTTTTTTTGTAATGCAAACTTGTTGTGGAAATTCGTGTTGGAAACGTTTCGATTAACCAACGGAAAAGAATTCCTAATAGACTTAAATCCTGGTAACTCTGACACTGCCTGCAGTGGGTTAAACCGTTCGATAATAGACCTCAGAGAAAAAGATCGAACAAAACACATATTCCCAGAAAACATGGAAGGGTATCAAAGAAGTGAGATTGGGTTGGAGTGGAGTGACAGGTGACAGCTGGTAGGTGAAATGTTGAAGGTGAAAGGTCGAAGGTGAAGGGTCGAAGGTGATTGGGTGAGGGAAACTAACTGAACCATTAGGAGAGTGCTCAAAGAAGGTGTCTTTCTATATCTGTGACAGTGTGGGCGAGTGTGCTCTATCAGAGGGTTCTCTCAAATTGTTTAGTTCTTACTTTAATAGTTAATAGTTAATACCAAATACGACTAATTATTTCAATATTACTTAATTATATACGTTTGGTTTTCTGTTTTCGCCGTTAGGGGATCTCGTTTGGTTTTTTCTTCTCATAGTTTTCATTTTTTGCTGCAAGTTATGTACGATAAGTTGTTAAGACAATATATATTATATAAATATATATATTTCATATATATAATTAATATATATATATGCTACATAGAGTTCACTTTATTACAAAAAGTATTATTATTCATTGTTAGTATTTATATAGTAGGTATATTGTTGTTGTTGTTGTTTCTGACCACGCCTCTCTATCTTATTTTGGGGCTTACGTTGCACATTTTTGACTATATCTATCGTACATATATGCAATTACATACATGTGTTATGTGGCGCATGGTTCTATATGCTGGTAATGCTTCCGTTTGTTACCCGAATCCAAATTTCCGCTAGAATCCCCTTTGCTATGTCGTCGGTCGATGAATCTTAAAGATACGTTTTTACTGTGCGTTTTACATACTCTTCTCTTATTTCATTTTTTCATTTTTCATTTTGGCTCTTTTGTTTTTTTTGGATTATACAAATGTTTACGTTTCCACTTATTTATTTTTAAACTAAATAAAGACATTTTTAGACACTTTTGCGGCTTCATTTGGTTTTCCTTTCCCGTTAATTGTTTTAATTGTTAATCAAATCGCGCCCACCTTGACTATAGTATTTTTCCATACACATGCGCATGTGCATATGTATTTGTTTAAACTAATTTAAGTAAAGTTCACGTTTCGCTTTTTCTTTGAAAGGTGGTTGATACGCGGCCTATACGTTGTTTTTTTTTTGGTTTTTCTGACTGAAATTCTGTCCTTACTATCCTTGGATTTTCTCTCAATTTCCTATAATCGCTTTTGCCGTTTTCAAATTTATAGTCTAGTAAATTTGGATTTTTCTTCTCGTTTTGCCTTGTTTGGTTTTCTTAGCTAACCTAAATGTTTTTTGTATTTGTGTTCGCCAGTAATTAAAGTATTAACTATTTATATTTTTCGTCGCTATCCCCTTTTATATTTTAGTTGTATGCGTTTTGTTAAATGTCTTCTTGTTTTTTTTTTTTTTGTTTCTTTTTATACTTCCGTTATCGTTTATCTAAAAAACCTATTCTTGTGGCAGTTGCTTTTTGTTTAATTAAATATTCATATTCTTTGTTCTAATTGTAATAAAATATGCTATTTTGGTTTTGTTTCAATAGAGATTTATAATTAATTCATGCTTGTTTTTATTTCGTTTGAAAGAGGACCATAAATATTTAAGTGATTTCTGTTTTTCGCTTCGTTTAATACGCATACGCATTTCATGGTGTGTTTTTGTGTGTGTTGCTGTGTGTGTGTGTGTGTGTGTATCTGTTGTTTGACCATTGCTACATCAATAATGTATCGTTTCTGATTTAGCTATTATTATTAGTTTTTGGTATCGCTTGTTCACTAGAGAGAGGGAGTCGTCATTGTTGTCCTGCCACTGCCACTTCCACTGGCACTGTTTCCCCTGGCCGCATACATTTTGCAGGCACTATAAGGCGCCGCTGCTCAGACAGCGCCACCATCTCCGCCACCAATCGTTGATGTTGTAGTTGTAGTAGTAGAAGTAGCGATAGTTCCTAGTCCCAATGCACCCTGCCCCCCGACTCCACTGCATTCCTCCACTTGCGTCCGCCCGTTCCTTGGTTCCCTTCTCGCCTTTGAACTTGCTGCGGCTACTAAAGTATCGCACTTTGCTGCAGGTCAACCTGTACGAGTGCCAGGACGTGGACCACAGCCAGTACCTGGGGGGCAGGTCCTTAGGCTGCTGCTGCTGCTGCTTTTGCTGCTGCTGCTTCTCCTTAGCCGCTGCCGGAGTCCTTTGCCCGCTGCTGCGGCTCTTCACCAGCTCCTGCTCGTGGCAGCTGGCCTCGCAGGTGAGCGCCTGGCGACTGCCCGGCTGTGCCCGGTGCCCACCACCGCAGCCACTGCTCCACTGGCAACCACTGCTCCACCGCTGCCTGGCCGCTCCACAGCTGCTCAGCAGGCCGAGCAGGGCGCTCAGCCAGATCAGCAGCTGCGTGGGAGGCTTGGCCACCGCCTCCGTGCCGGAGGCATAGTACGGAATGGTGCAGCGCGTGGTCACGGCCGGCACCACGGCACAGTCGCCGGAGAGCGAGGCCGGCGGCATCTCGCCCTCCTCGTCGTAGTAGAAGATGCCCTCGTGGCGGGCGTAGTACGGCAGGCGTTCGATCAGCGCGTCCACGGCATCCGGATCGCCGCCACTGCGGCTCACGTTCCGCAGCGCCAGAGCCACGCTCTTGGCCCGAGCATGCTCCCCGGGCGGCGAACTGAGCGAGATGGTGATGTTGTGCACTCGGCGGGTGGAGTTGCTCGCATCCGCATCCGGATCCGGATCCGTTCCCTGGCCGAAGTCCGGGCACACGGTGCAGATGCCCGACGACGGGCCATTGCAGTAGCTGTAGCAGCAGTCGTTGGGGCCGTAGCTCGACTTCTCCAGCTGCGCCCCTGTTTCGGGTATGTTTTGATCTGGCAAATATAGTACTTTATATATATATATATCTATTTCAATTCCTTCCTGTTCCTCACCTAGGCAGAGAAATGTCGGCTCGCCGGCATATTGGGTGGGCAGCGCGGGGGCGCGATCGGCGGGCAGCAGGTAGGGGCACTTTTGTTCCACGGTTTGGCAGACGCTCAGACACGGCCGGATACGGCGCCGCTTACGGAACTCTGTCTTGCGTGTTGATCTATGACGGATACAGCAAAATATATATATATATATTTAAGTTTATTACTATAGACTTTGGTGTGCAAATAAAGTTTTTGAGATAACAAACAAAAAAGATATATAAATATATATTTTATTGTGCTGGTTATTTAATAAAATGTGACCATAACTTTGCCTAATTTACTTAATGTTTAATAAATTTAGTTCAATAAAATGTAATTATAATTATCCTATTATAGTTAAGGTTCGTTATTGTGTATAGCATGACTTCTTTTTTACTTATATTTTATGCGATTAATGGATTTTAAAATGTATTTAGCTTATTCAATTGCATTTAAATTTATTCACATACATTTCAGTGATTATTTATTTTATTTAATTCAATAGGCAGAGCTAGTTATTAAACAATGAAAGGAAGTTAGTTATTCATTGATTATCTACTATGCACTTTGAACACATCGAATGCTTTAAGAAGATAAACTTTATTTAAAAGGGGTTTAAAAATACAAAACTAATTAAATAAACGAAATAATACAACTTTGTAGGTATTTATAATCAAATTAGGCAGTGATAGATTATTAATTAGCTCAAACGTTTGCTCACCTCTTCTGTAGTTTTGATATCACTGGATCCGTGGCTCTGGGATCCGAATTATTGGCAGTCGATATGAAATTATTGGATTGTTGTTCGGCCTCGGCCTCCGTGTTGTTCTCCGTATCCCTATCCGTATCCTTCCTCTCCGCCTCCCTGTCCCTCTGGCTGTCCCCCTCTCCATCCCCATCTGTATCCGTATCCGTTTCGACCTCGGAGTCTGCATCGGGTGCTGGTTCGTCGTCGTCATCTGGCAGGACCTGGATCTGTAGCTCCGCTCCTCCGTGACGGGGCTTAGACAGGCCAACAACATCGTAGAATGTCTGAGCCAGGTCCCTGCCAATCGCCTCCTCCACGCTGCGGTCAATGTCCTTGTTGGCGCTGGCGTTTGAGTTTGAGTTCGCATTCGCAATGGCTTTCGCATTGGCATTCGCATTCGCGTTCGCATTGGAGCTCTTGTCATGCTTCTGATTAATCTGATGCTCGTTCATGTTATTGCCGTTATTTGATTTATTGTTATTGCTGATTAATTTCAGAGATTTATGCTTGATGCCGTCCAGCCGGTGGTCCGTCGTCGCCATCGCTGCACTTCGCGCCGAGCGTTTGCTCTTGCCGCCCTGGCCATCGTCCTTTGGCTTTGGCTTCTGCTTCGGCGACACGTCCTTTGGCTCGGCAAAGTATGGCACTAGTGTACTGCAGACCCAGCGACGATATGCTTCCTGCAAAACAAGCAATTGAAAAGGCTCATCAATTATGCAGGTCCCTGGGCCACATTTAAATTATTTCGATCGAAATGGGATCTCGCCTTTGTGTTGTGAGAGTTTAATTGAAATTATTGAATTACGGCTCAATTAGGGGTTTTCCCAGCTCATCTATATATAATATCTTATTTATATGCGATGATAAACTGTCTGTGATTTAAAGGAATCTGTATCGGTTTCATTTTCCTAGCTAATTATGTGTATAATTGTTGATGAAAGCAATATAAATGCAAGGAGAGGTCTCTTTTTTATAAAATTAGAAGAATTATTTTATCGTTCGTTTCTCTTCTTGTTTGTCAACTAAAATGTTTTAATCTTAGTCTTTCATCTTATAAAATTAAAGGTATTATATTCTTGTTCGTCTCTCTTCTTGTTTGTTAACTATAATTTCTTAAATCCTATTTCGTTCGACTCTCTTTTTGTTTGTCAAATATAAATTCATATCAAAATATTACTATTGTATTATTTATAAGAATTATTTTCTCTTTCAATTCTCTTCTTTTTGTCAACTATAAACTCATATTAAAATGTTTGTATATTAATATCAGCATGAACTTAAACATAACTATTTTGAGGTTTACATGAACTTATCCAGAATGTCAAAAAAGAATAGCCATATCATTCAACAGCTTTATTATTATGTTATTAAATTTTATTCTGATAATCTTTCGGTAAAGAAAAAACACAATTGAATAACGATGAGCAGACCTCTTTATGCATACTTTTATAAAAATCCATTTCATTCTGCTATAAAAGTGCACACAAAGCGTCGTACTTATACTCGGCTTTTATATAAACAGTTATGGAAATTCCTCCCGACGACTCTGCCAAAATTCAGCTTCGAATGGTTGCCTCGGCCATAGAATGCACACTCCACATATTAATTTTGCATCTACCCATCCATCTGCCCATTCACCTTTCCCTCTGCTCCTCCGACAGCTTTTTCATTTGGCAGCCAATTTGTTGGAAGGTAGGGAAAATATTTTTGCTTATTCTATGCTGCTGTTGATTTTTGCTGTTTCTGTTTGTTGCTGGCTGGCTGGCGTGTGCTCTCGTTGTGATTTTCTATTCTGTCAGAACTATTGCAGTAGTTTTTTGGAATTTACCGCCCTGCCGCCCAACGTTTTTTTTTTTTGCCCATAACTGTTGGTCAAAGGCAAATACCAAACAAAACAACTCTTCGCAGGCTGGCAGAGAAATTTGATTCAGGTGAAATTTTTGCTATTGGCCAACATTTCTGTGGCTATCAATGTGTCTGCATTGCCATTACATTTTGCCTGCAAGGACGTGGACGCCAGAGGAATTTACGTTTTCATTGATTTCCAAGGTTCGGAGCGAGAATCCAAAGTCATTGGGTTTTTGTTCATCTATATTTGCATATACTGGTGACTTTGGTGCGCAGGCAAAGGAGCAGAAAATATGCACAATGTATATCCAGATTCTTGATTGCAATTGCCCCAAGTTAAAGTGCAACACAGTGCATTGATTGTCTAAATCAATTATCGAATATCGTGCTTATGTGCATTGAACAAAGCACTGCTGGGCAAAGGCCGATTGCAAAACACAACACAACACTAATTGAATTAACGCACTGCACTCCCTTCATTTCGTCCTTAATGCGCCTTGCCTCTAATATTACCTACTACCCGTGATAACCGCAAAAGCGTGCACCGCATTCATAAATCACGTATACGCACTGTTGGCCTGCGGCTGCAGTTGGCAAGGCTAATTGTTTGTGTTTGCCACCGCTGTCACTGCGGGCAATAGTGTTTGGGGCCAGTAAAAAAAAAGCGAAAATTAACATGCCAGGCAAAATTTAAGCTCATAAAACTACTTATTTTCGTCTATGTCGGTAGACTAGTTCGATCATCAGCGGCACTAAATTCGACCGGATTATCTGATATAGCCAAAACATTGGTGAGCAGTTCATCAAGAACTATACTCATTTTGTTTCGGCCATGAAAGACAACGACCCCATAAACTCAGCGAGTGTCTGACATTAAACTACAAATACTCGTATACAAATAAATATACCAACGAATGTGTACAGTAAGAAAAGAAAAAACTATTGGATAAAACCTTTATCAAATTATATTAAATAAATATTCATAAACAATAATAAGTAAACCTTTTCTTAATGTTTGATAAATAATAATAAATAATTCTTCTTAATATGATTACCAAATAGAAAGATTTTTCTAAGAAAAGGGTTTACATAAACGAGAATATGGTATTATACATATATTTATAACATGTACAACATTTATTTATTTATTATTATTTATTTATCCTTAATTTTATTGGAAGAGGAATATTAGTCTATAGACTAAAATTGAAACTATATTCCTTATTTTATTTTCTCTGTACCATATATATGGATAAAGCTAAGGATGGCTGTTGCTGTGGTAACTTTGAGGGCTTTCGGCCTGCGTAGGCGGGATCGTCGTCACATCTCCCTTCATCAGGCCCCCACTTGCTAAATTATTATTTAATTACAAAAAAGTATTCCCCATTAATAGGACACCGTCGTGTAGTGTTCTTCGCGGCGAAACCAGCCATGCAGCCGAACCGTGTGGCACGTGGCAGATAACTTGAACCCGACCTGTCCCATCTGGTATACGTATACGTACATATCGTACATGTCGTATGTGCGCCTGCACTCTGCACTAAATGAATTCCGACGCCCAAATAAAAAGTCTCAAACGGCGAACTCAATTAGAGGGTCCCCAGGTGCAGAGATAATTGGAGCCTGTGCAGCTAGATGGCGCACAACTTTCTCACGGAGGAGCTGCAAAAATCAATCCGAGCTGAAGGAGTGGATTTAAACTCATCCCCGGCAGCGCAAAGCAATCCATTTAAGCTTGCCTTCATTTAAATGCGGGCCGCAAAAGTCATTCCGCACGCAAAATCCCGATTTTCGTCCTGTTCGTCCTTTTCGGCCATTACGCCGACATGACACAATCAGCATCAGCAACGGCATCGGCATCGACATCAGCAGGGCCATGCAGGCAGCCTGCAGCAAAAGGACGAAGATGACGATAAGGATGGGGATGCGACACACATGCGGGCAGTAAATAAGCCGGAGTTTTGCCTGCCCATCGACGTGTGACCTTTGCGCCGCGTCCTTCGCACTTCCTGTCACCCAGATTCACTTCCGATTCCCCAGGCCGGATGGAAATGGGCATACTGGATTGTGGCTTAAAATTTTTGCCAACCCAATATGCGATAATGAGTCCGATGTGCCGGGCTTAATTGGAAATTCAGATTAGGCCATGAAATTCTAATTTAATATATGTATATATATTTATTCCCAGTGCGCTGGGCCAGAGTTTTGCCGGTTTTACAGCCAGCCATATCAATAGAAATAACGTTTATGGTCGACGTATCCAGAAAAAATAACTTGTAACTTTGCTCGCTCCGTCGTAAACATTAATGGCTAACCTAAGGGTTAAGGGGTCAGAGGCCATAGAAAGGCGACAACAAAGAAAAGGGAGTGAGCAACCTTTGCCACTGACCATCAGTCAGTCAATGACCGTTTCATATGGCGAATAATTGAATTTTTGTTCGTCTTTTTTTCGAAAAAGAATGAAGGCAAGAGAATTCTTTTTATATTTGCCAAACGGACCAGACATTGCGTGTGGGTTGATTTACGAGTTTTCAAATGGCTGCCATTGCCGTTGCCATTGCCATTGCCGTAGTCGGGTTTTACTATCATAATTTCATAAGCCGTTGAACCAAAGAAATAACGCAAACATAGCCCAGGCGCAAGAGTAATAAAAAATATATATAATAAATATATAAATAAGCCACAGGGCACAACCCAAACAACATGGCGAAAATTATACGACTTTTTTTTATAATGACGAATTGGTTTGACATGGCTGACTAGCTACCTTATTTGTTTATTTTTAACAAGTTTATTTTGAATCCCAGGATAACAATTTTAACAAAATGAAATAAATAAAAGTCAAATATTTTCTTATTGCAGCAGTTAAAAAGGGGTTTTCATTTAACTTATTTTTAAAATTTAAATTATTTTAGGAAAAAAAGAACAACAGCTTAGGTCTTAAATTTACTTCAAATTAGCAGTTTCGAATCTGACAAAATAATTATTATTAGTATGCCCTTTTTCGGTTAAAAGCAGCATTGTTGGAGCATCAAACATGTTTAGTCATTGCTTTCATTATTTTCGTTTCGATAAAGTCAACCTTGTTATTTACGTTAGTCAATAAAGCTCAATTATGGTCATTGAAAAAACAAAAACTATTGAATGAACGAAACCTCTTTACGATGACCAGCGAAATGGGAACAACTTTGTTTGTCCTTGCATATTGTTTGTGTTATCGATTCCCCACCACTCGCCCCAAGTCAATTCACAATTCGATTGGCTTGCTTGAGTGTATCAAAGTTTATGCTCCTGCATTGGCCTTCAAATTCATTCGCAAACTGGCTGAGACATAAATATTTTATGGCTTTCTAAGCGCACTCATTCCACCGCTAGTGTGGGCGAAAAATCCTCAACTTCAGCATGAATTTAATACACTTTCATGAGGGTCCTTTGCCCACTGACCAACTGGCTGACTGGCTGTTGTGGTCGAGGTCCTGGTCAGTGTGTTATGGAAACGTGACTGAATTTGGCAAAGATTTGCGCAGCACACCAAATGCCCTGTGTAGGACTATGTAATGTAATTGATATGGCCCACACACACACACACAAACATTGTGTATACGCTGGCCTACAAGACCTTCACACACACACACAAAGCAGCTAGGCATTTCCTCGTATGTATGCAAATAAGTTATGATTTGATTTGTACCATTGCAGTGAATTTATGAGTAGTAAGAGCCCGGCATTACAGCTGGCTCTTCGACTCTTTCGGCTCTCGTTTTGGTTCGGCAACCATTCCGATTTCGATTTCCATTGCTATGTTGTTGCCAATTTGCATAATGGCTCACGA